ATTATTTCTCTCAAATATAGAACACAAAAATGAAATAAAAAACAAGTTTCTATTAATTGCAAAAGTTAGCTTCTATGTCATGACTGAGTTTGGGTTCCGCTTCTAGGGAAAAAATATCCATCTTGAAATATCGTATTGACCATTGCTATACACTCCTTATTTAATCCTCCCAGTAAATAACATTGATATACAGTGTACAAGTATATATGACATCGAGGATCTGGGGTTTGGGTAATGTGAGACATGAGGCCACTTGTCTTTTTGAATCTCATATTCAATATTCTTTCTTTAAACCCTCATATTTAATATTTTTGGAGTGGAAATTCAATTATGTACCTATTTTTTATTCTTTATCACATAGTTGAACTCTGTTCCACCCTGTTAGGTAACATGAAAACATATTTATGATATTTTGCAAATGCGTGGAAAAAGTGATATCTGTGGAATACGGAAAATATTTCACAGATATCACCTTTTGGCAGGGATTTGAAAACTACCACCAATATGATGTGTTTTGTTACATATTGATTTCATGACATCACGGGGATGAATGAATGAATGGATGTTGTTTTGATATGCTTTGTTTAGTTTTAGAGGTGAACTATGGGAAAAATAGAACATCCTATGAATTTTCGTGATATTGTGTTAATCCAACTCATTGATATCAATATCTGCGCTAATTCGTTATGCTAACTTGGCAAGATATTGATATCAACTCGGAGATAAAGATAAAATCATTTAAAACCATATGATATCCTATACATATCCTTTACTGTGCCACAACTTTCTCATATGTTATATATTTTGGCACAGGCCATCACTTATTTTCCTTGAATTCATGCTTTTGTTCCTCGTTTTAGAAATGAGAGGAAATCTTTGATTTTCCTTGTATTTAAGTTGTTTAAATGTTGCCCTGTGATGTTGATAAAAGTCAATAGTAATCCATTACAGTCACAATTGAAATGTACCCATTGCTAGCCCAGAACCTACCAAAATAGCATTTGCATTTTGTCAATATTGCCCTATGTGCTTTTCCATGAAAATAATTTTAATCGTATCTTTTCTTCAGTATTTCATATATTACATTTTAATATATTTATATTGGTTAATATTTATATACTATTTACTTAGACAACAATAAATAAAGAATTTTTTGTAAAAACACCAAAAATGGTATATGATCTTTAAATGACTGTTGTGTGAACATCAAAGGTCAAAATTGGCTGAAATTGTATTTTTATAAAGCACAAATGATTTTTCTTCAATATGATATGCATTATTATCAGATATCTTTGGGGGCTAAAAAGGGCCCTTAATGACACCCGTCCTTTCCTTTTGCAGACCCGTGGCTTAATTTCAGTTTGTCTTAATTGTTTTTAGACATCTGATTAATGTTATTCTCATTCACTTTAAGAGATGTGCATACATGTATTAACACTGGATTGAATAAAACTTACATATCATCAATCTAGCTCAAAATACAAGTTCTCTATGCATGAATTTGTGGTATCTGTAGCAAAAAAGCCAACATGTACAAATGTACTTTTAATTCAGGTGATCGATCGATATACTATTTTTAAAGAGATTAAGTTGAAATTCAGACATAATAGTATTGTTTACTGACTGTATAGACAGCATTCCATATAGATATAGTATACTCGTCATAAATCATGTCGACACTTTCAAAAAAAACAATCAGAGATGTAGAGCAACTTTTTTAAAGAAAAAAATGTTTTCTATTTGATAATACAGTATATCGTGAATGTTTCTATAGAATAGGGAGAGGGATGTACATGGATGGAATGTTAGTCAATGTGGGTTTTCATTGTAAAAAGTGTCAAAGTGTCTACTCTTGCATCTGGTACTAAAACTTAGCCTTTATTGAGTTGACAGAGAACAAGTAGATTACAAGGGTTTGATGCAAGACTTCACAAGGCCAGTTTAACAACAAAATAATGAATTTACAACAATATGTATTTCATTTATGCCAGTATGGTTAATGCAAAATGTATCTATTTAGTAAATGTATCTATTTAGTAAATGTATCTATAAAGTACAATCAAGTGATGTTTTACTTCCCGGACAAGATGAAACAGAGGCTTCGATAACTGACTTATATGCCTCCCTAGATGTCATCATGGTTGAAAAATAGCTGGTATATATCATGATTTTATGAGCATGGATAGCTGTAAAGTATGAACTACTCACCGGGTTGTTGGTCGATTGTTATATGGCACTTTACTGCCATCTATAGATCTGTCGGGATATTTTCACGTAGCTTCGCATCCAGCCTCCATACTCCCATGATCTATATACCAAGAAAGTGAATTTGGGCTGGGGGGTTTGGGGGTTCTACCCTTTGCATTCATTCTATTTCGCTTCTTAAAAGAGACCTTCAATTTCAGGGAGTTTATAACTAGACTGCACGCAGGTTAACTTTATACCTTTTATTGACTCTAAACTTGTTAGGACATATGGGTCGCTATACAGTATGAATAAATGAAGATGTTCTTTATATAATGCTACAAATATACAGTGTTTAGGCTGAGGCATACTTGCAAATAACTGCAGCTAGTGTCTGGTAGCTAGTATTGTAGTCTAGGGAAATACAGATTTTGCCAAAAAAGCAATTTCATAATGTCTTACAAGTAAATCATACACATAGACATTATCACTTTTTATTAGTAGTTGTATGATAAAATGTTGTGAAGTTATTTTATTTTATTATTGAAGCCCATACATTTATTTTTAATAATTTTTGGATATATCTTCTCAGTAAGGTCTGTTTCTGTTTTATAAAGTGCTTGTATCAAAGATTTTCACTTAAAAGAGGTTTTTAATTATAACAGGTTCTACTGTACTGTATATAAGGATAAAGTATAAGTTGTAACAAATAATTGTGCACTTTAGACAGCTATAACCAGATTATACACACATCTTTATAAATCTGACAGCTTTACTATGCCAGGGTCTATATTTGTAAGCACTAAACCAACTTTAATTACATTTTTTTGTAAAAACCATATGAGGTATATCAGCATATGAACGTTTGTGTATGAATGATATTACTGGGTCTTGAGTTTCAGATATTTATGATTTGGAATATGTGATAGTTATGATTCAAGTCATGAATTAGGTAACCTTGTAAGGCTGAAGGACAAACTTTTGGAATATCTTTTTCAGTGTATAACAAAACATTTGTATGAAGCACACATATGGCTCACTTTTGTTTGGTGATTTGATCAACATAGGTGCCAACTATTGTGAAATTGTGTTAAAGGGAGCGATGTTTAAATTTATTTTAATCGAGTTAACTTAACTGCAATAAATGCTGTTAAAATGGAGTAAACATGTTTATTTTTTGGACTCTTATCAAAATATCAATTGATGTCTGCTGAATGAATTATAAAATTGAATGAAAGAGATTGGAAAGGTGATTGAATTGGCATATGTAGACATATGACCCTACAAAACCTTGTTTTTTATATAATATGTTTTTATCTAGTTTTTCCCTGTTTTAACTTGTATACCTTCAAGCGCGTTGAGCATTTATGTATAAAAGGGCACGAGATGACTAGTATAGCCTACAGTTGCCGCAAGTGGAGTGGCAGACCGACCCCATATATCATCTTAATTCTTAAACCTTAACTGGTTCCCGACCAGTGAAATAAAATTGTACTTACTTTAAATTATCATACTACTTGGAGGTCACATCTGTGGTGCATCTTGATTAGAGAGAGGGAGCTCTTACCCATAAAAGAAAAACACAAACAACATGGTGGCGTAAAAACGACATTTTTATTTCCTCTAGGGCAACTAATTCAATGGACAAAAATGCATATACGCCATATTCCGGCTTCTTTATGTCTGCTAAATTCATAAGTGTAGTTAGTAAATGTTTTCTTCACGAATCTCTTGAATTTGGAGGAATTGACTTGCTATATATATACGCCTGGAGTAAATAAATGAAATGTTTAGCATATCTCCTTGCATCTATTTAAAGTATGTAATAAATTACATCTCTGCATCCATGTGGCATTTACGGAAGGCAAAACTATCAGTCTAGCTAGCATTCCATAGAAATTGTGTTTTATGGTATGTAATAATGACAATGGTATTATAATACTGTAATAACAATTTTGCCTTTGAATTTCTTAGGTATGATCGGGTATGGTGGAAAATCAAATTGGCATACAAGAATGCATATGTTAATAAAATTGGCATATGATAATGCAAATGTTAGTCAAACTAGCATACAAGAATGCACATGTTAATAAAATTGGCATATGATAATGCAAATGTTAGTCAAATTAGCATATAAGACTGCGAATGTTAATCAAATTGGTATACAAGAATGCACATGTTAATAAAATTGGCATATGATAATGCAAATGTTAGTCAAATTAGCATACAATAATGTGAATGTTAATCAAATTGGCATACAAGAATGCACATGTTAATAAAATTGGCATATGATAATGCAAATGTTAGTCAAATTAGCATATAAGACTGCGAATGTTAATCAAATTGGTATACAAGAATGCACATGTTAATCAAATTGGCATATGATAATGCAAATGTTAGTCAAACTAGCATACAATAATGTGAATGTTAATCAAATTGGCATATGATAATGCAAATGTTAATCAAATTGGCATATGATAATGTAAATGTTAGTCAAATTTGCATACAAGAATGCACATGTTAATCAAATTGGCAAATGATAATCCACATGTTAATCAAATTGGCATACAAGAATGTAAATGTTGACCAAACTGAATTTTATTTTAATTTTTACTTTTTACTGGTGAAAAATAAACAATAAACTGATAAACAATATGTTTTCTTTGAGCAATCTCCACAAATTACAACATTAAACACTATCTCATATATCACAACCACCATTTCCTTGATCATTCTAAGGGAGAAAGCTTTTCATAATCAATAAAGCCTCATAAGTGATTTAAATGTAATTCTTTTTACACCTCTTGTATTTGCAGGTAGTATATGTGCCAAGCAGATCTCATAGAGAGGGCCGGGGACCCCATCAACATAGTCACCAGGTTAGGTTACAGGGCGTCCAGACTGACCCAGTCATAGACATGCCCCCTCACATAGCCATCTCCTGGGATGGTGAGGAAGGGTATATCAGTAGTCAACGTATGCTACAAATGTCCAATAACGATGCTTCACGGGAGGATTCTCACAGTGATTCTGTGCGTCCTCCTCCTAATAAGACTGTATTTGACCGAGAGAGTCCTCCCCCGTACAGAGCCAGATCTCAGTCTATGCTTGATAGCTCTAGACAAACAGACTTTAAGCCGGGACGTACAAGACATTTCCCACAACGGACCGCATGCCCTAATATGGGGCATTCTCGCAGTAGTAGTGGCAGCAGTAACCATAGTAACCAAACTATAGACCCCCCGCCAGATTACAGCTATAGCCAGGCCTTATATGGCGGCACTGGCAAATCTATGGATAGTTATAATAATAATCGACATAGCGATGGTGGTGTATGAAACTGAGAGCCGTTTTACACAATTTAATATTATGTTTGGAAGGTGCACACTTATCGTGAATGAACATGGATACTCAGAAAGACCTGGCCACACATTGAAAATGTATGCAAGGTTAGGCCCCGTGCCTTCCTGCGGCCTACCAGTGAACATAGATCAGATCACTATGTACGCGAGGATGTGTACTAAACGCCACGAATGGTTGGGCTACTGTGGGGTTGGTTTGTACTGGCCGGCCAGTGAGTCGCAGCAGCCAGATCCACTCAATACTCAACAACAACTCCATCTAGTGGTGATCGTGGCCACCGCTCAATCTATAAAACTGCCACCAGATGGCAGACTTGTTCTGCATCGTCATAGCAACAGAGCAATTTCTCATAACAGCATCTTCATCACACATCATTACATCATTCAAGAAGAGTTTAGTATTTATAAACATTGTAGTCCAGCAGGAGCTAGATATTTTTGTGGAATATATCTATTATCTTTATGTCTGAGTCTCGGATGGTTGGAACTTAGGTGGAACATATTTTAGTTGTACAACTATTACATTCTCTAAGTCAAAATTCCAGATTATATGCTTTTCTATAAAAGCTCTGGAGCCTGGAACCATGTACTGGGAGACATAATTTGTTGAGTAAATCAGATGTATCATTAGTCTTGGTTCAAGCCCTTGTGAATCCCCCCTACACTGTGACCTCCAAAAAGAAGGTAGATAAGGAGGATTAAGAGACTTGATGCAACACTTGTGTGTTAGATATCCATATAGTCTTGCCTCAAGTCTTGCACTTACTCCCTATTCCCAGTTGTGTTATAGAGAATATGGGTGGGTCACATAGGGGTTTGATACAAGACTATATGATTCTTTGTTTTCCAATAGGCTGATGAGCTCAATGATAGTAGAAACATTTAAAAAAGAAATTCACTCCAAGTTGGCTTTATTAACATTTGTCTCAAACACATATATGTTGGTTGTATACATATGCGCCATCTATTGGAAACTCACATATGTGTATCATGATATTTTTAATTTTCTAGTCTACATTAGTTACTCATAGAACATTTTTTCATTCAAATTTTCGATATATAGATTCAAACAGTTTGGAGTTCTCAACAATGATTGACATTTAGACATTATCGTACAATTGTGCAGTCAGATGAAAAGCAATTCAATGCTTTAGAGCATATTTTTACGTACATTCTTTGAGGTCGACATGACATGTGTACATTTGTATATGTTCAATAAAATGAGTGATATTTAATGAATGCGAATGAAATAAGACACAAAATCAAAATTTATAGAATATTATTAACTGTATTGTAATGATATATCTGTACATGTACATGTATTTGTATATTTTCTTGTTATCAAATGTTTGTACTGTGTTAATAGTGTGAAATAGACTCTCCTAGTTGCACTTAATAATACAGTTATGCTAATCCAAGATAGTGAGATTTAGCTATTTGAAGTCAGATTTAGCTATCTAAAATCAGATTTAGCTATTTGAAGTCAGCTTTCAGTGTTAACTCTCACTGAATTTTAGTTCAATCTTCAATACAAGAACTGTAGATCAATTAAAATAGGTTTAATGTGGTTTTTGACTTTATGTTATTTTAGCTTTTTGATTAATTAATTTAATTATACATGTATGTCTGTATGTATGTGTGTATGTTTAATATGTAGCCTTGCATCAAGCCACATCGTTCCACTCTCCTCTCTGATATCATACATACTTACCTACCTACCTACGTAGTATGAGTAGGTAGGGAAATAAGTATTGCAATTCAGAGGGGGAGGGGAGGCTTGATTCGGGACTAGATAACCTTTAAAAGGGCCTTGGTAGAATACTAGAATATTGTGTAATGATCTCATGGTCTAAAATGCACTCTGGTCAAACTGCTTTATTAGAAATTTATATTGAATAATTTTTAAAGTAATTAATTCCATTGAGTCTCATTTTCTCGAATTGGACTTTCCTTACATATCACTTTCAAATACAGTAAAACTTTTAAGTGGAACACCTTTGTAAGTGGAACACATTCATATGTGGAACACTTTAAAATTCTGTTACCCATTATATTTATGTAAAAATGAACCTCTATTTGTATACAGAACACGTTTTTTAAGTACTTGTCTGAACACACATGTTTTACTGTAATCCTTACTTCATTACTTTTGAACTCGAATACCCACATCAAACATTTTCAAATGATCGGAATCCCTTTATTGCACAATCTAAGCCATTTCTTTATGACATTATCGATTTGTGTTTATTGATTTTGCAATGAACAGTCCACTTTATGATTTGACCATTGTGACTTTTTACCATTGTGACTTTTGACCATTGTGACTTTTTACCATTGTGACTGCCCTCTCAGAAGATTTAGCTGTGGTCATGTCAAACATGAAACAAATGGAAGTCTGCTTTTCACATTAATTTTAAGGATTTTCATTCAATTTCACATTATTGTGAGTGAAGAATCTGTTACTTTCATTCAATCTCATGTTACTTTGAGTGAAAAACATGTTACTTTAATTCAATCGCATGTTACTTTGAGTGAAAAACATGTTACTTTAATTCAATCTCATGTTACTTAAGTGATAAACATGTTACTTTGATTCAATCTCACGTTACTTAAGTGATAAACATGGTATTTCCATTCCACTATATGTTACTGGACATGAAAACATGGTCACACTGATACATTCTGAGGGAGCCTTGACATGACTGTCCCTGCAGTTATACCGGTGTTTGGTTTAAAACTAGATTAACGCTTCTCCCTTGAAAATTGCTAGTAGAAGTGAATATATTGTTTTGTGTCATTTGTTGTGATATATAAATTCTATTTTTGGTTGAAAATGTCTAGACTTTTTAACTCCTGTGATTTATGGATTTAAAAAGAATAAAAGGAGACTTGAGTTTAGACCTTGATTAAGTTCCTTGACACAAAATAATATTTCATGTTTTATAGTCTGACTGAATGGTAGTCTACCATTCCTATGTGCATCTAGCTTGTAATCAACTTAACCAAAAAGTAGTCAAGAGGTAATTAACAGTAACTTTTGTAAAGTTAAGAACTTCTAGGTTGGTGTACTATAATGTCATTACAACCAAGGTTATCAAATTGAGTAAAGAAATCTTAACTTTCTGAAGTTTCTGTTCAATACCCCCAAGATGGCAACACAAGCTTGAGTAATAGAGGTAGTCAGGATTGTAGCCTTGCGTCAAGCTCTTGTGCCCCCCCCCCCATATATCTTGCTTCCACAAGGTGAACCAGATATATTGGGTAGAGGGGGTATAGAGACTTAAGAAAAGACTAAAAGAATACAATTACAGGCCTGAGATAATAATAAATCAATCTGCGCAATCACCATTATTATTGCTATTTCACCAGCACTGAAATTGTTAAGTATCCGAACCCGGAAATCATCAAAAATGTATGATGTTTGAGTAGTTTTGATCCAGGCATGCCGTGAATTGTGCAGATTGAGCAATTGATGACTAGATGCATTAAGGGCAAGATGACATATACAATCTGTCAACCCCAGTTTTTGAAATACAATGGCTGGCCCATATACATACATTGGCTCATCTTTAAAAATATGTGTTATCAGGGAGACAAATGTGTCCTGTCCCATTTTGCCCAGGTTCATCTTAGTTAAATCTAAGGCTGTTTTTCCAGGCTCCTATAATGCACTACAAACTTTTCGTTACATAATTTTGACTAAGATAATGGTGGAGAGATGACATTAATTTGATGTTATATATCAAAGCCAGATTTATCGTAAAATACCATAATTTCCAAGGCTTGTGTGACATAGCTTCTGTTTTTAACATCGTTATGAATGATTAAATTGTTGCATAATATTCTTAGAGAGTATTTGTTGGATTGAAACCCATTTTTTAATTGATCTGCAAATGTCAGCGTTCAATCATTTCACATATTCCTTTTCTTTTGATCTCTATTGTTCTGCATATCATGTTAATATATAGTGACTCCTTGTAAATGAGGTAACACCATGTTAATATGTGGTGACTCCTTGTAAATGAGGTAACACCATGTTAATATGTGGTGACTCCTTGTAAATGAGGTAACACCATGTTAATATGTGGTGACTCCTTGTAAATGAGGTAACACCATGTTAATATGTGGTGACTCATTACAAATCCATAGTATAGTATTTGGTGACTCTATATAGTGACATAATATGCTGTTTACGTTTTTCAGATAAATTTTTATCACGGGTGCAACACCAACAAATACGTTCTTTGAAAATGAAATTTATGAATTTTTAGCTCTGTTTCATTTTTCTAATTTTAACAAAAGGGAGAACATGTATTTATTTAATTTTTTAAAAGTGCAATGGCCATAATTTGCTAAGATATGCACATACTTTTCTAATATAATACATTTTCCTCATATCAAATCAGAAAATACAACACAGCCAGTCCATTCTTATCTAATATAAATTAACCTTTGGTCAAAACATTCTTTAACAATTGACATTTAACAATCTTCTATCAACTGTTGACATTTAGAAGGACAACGATCTAAAGTCAACAGTTGACATTTGGTAGGTTAACAATCTGAAGTTAACAGTCAATAATTGATACAGGTTAACAGCCTAATCTAACAAAGGTCCACTTCTCCATTTAGGCATTCGACTGCTTCCTATATGTATATGTAACAATCTGACATATTGAAATTCTCAATTTGTCACACATTCTCTGAGTTTTTGTGACTGTATGCAGACTAAATCAAAGATCTATCATAGAAATTATGATTGTGGATATATGTATGTGGTAAATGTTCAAGTCCTAGCAAAGTGCGCCAAAAACAAGGCCAATTAGAGTATTTCATATTGAAAATGAATGTAGCGTTGGCTGACTTCTTGTGGCTATGGCTAAAGCTGAAATTAATTTGGATAATTATTTTTGTTCAGTGACATAGCTGATCTATAACTTTTAGTAAATGATCCCCAGACTTCCCATATTTATGACTACATTCCTTTATGACCCCATAATGCTGCATTAGTACGAGAGCTAAATGTCACAGTGCTTTTATTAATGAAGTCACATTGCCCAGGAGGTAATACAAAGTACAAATATACTCTAGATTACAAAGAAACACAAGTAAATAAGTCGGTTTAGCAGTAAAACCCCTCTATAGTGAACACCTGTGTTAAGAGAACACCTCTGTAAAGCAAACACCTGTCTATGGTAAACACATTGAAGCGTGAACATGTTTTGTCTTATTGGTTGACTGGTCTTATTGCTTTATTATTATTCTCAGAGCCTCTTAATTTGTATTACCCTGATGTTAATATTCGAAGCCTGTCTCAGAAGTTTTCTCTTGCTTGACAGGTTTTATGTTCTTAAGACTGTTAAGGCTATAAGGAGCATGCACATAGTCAGTTCATGTTAACCAAATGCTGCACCAAATGTACTGGGATTGTACAATGTTGGCATATTGACATTGAAAAGTGATAAGTTTGCGAATGTCTTCTTGGTACACTTTCAGGTAGCAAATCGAGGTTTCTGTCAGAGAAATGACATCCTCTGAATTCATGTGGTTTTGTTCCCTGATTTCAAAAGTTGATCTAATAGAACAAATTGAGAAGAAGCAATAAGAAATAACAGCTTGTTGAATGAGAATAAAATCATGAAGTCTTTTAGAAGTGGTTCCCAACTGAACAGTGTATATGTAATGGTCTAAATACACTCCCCTCCAAAAGTATGGCAAATCCTGACTTCACTTGGGATAACATCTTAAAATCGTTTATATTTCCCTGGATTACATCATGTCAGAATTTTATTACAAAATTGATTGGCCCCATCATCCTCTGAACACAGGCCTCCAGAACTCGTACCTTGTTCCAAGAAGGAAGGAACATAGTTGATGATGTCTGGAGTCCTGTGTTCAGAGGATGCAGGCCCATACTGCATAGGGACTAGTGATTGCCACATTTTTAAGGGGAGTGTAATACCACCAAAAATAGGTCAAACAAATAGGTCATGTTTCTTAACACAAAGTGAACTAGAGAGGAATATAGAGAAAAGGTGTGTAGTCAGGGAATTGGGAAATGTTGAGGTTTGAAAAGATATATTAATCATGATAGGGATCAGTCAATTTGTTAATCTATTTAAGACCCTATTGCATTTTAGATGATATATACATTTTTATGGATTCTCAAATTGACTGGTCCTTGTTGTTTTAATGGTACAATGGCGAGATAGAGTCGGAAGATGTATGTGCGCCATCTATGAAGTAAATATTCATTTGTATTTTTAAAATGAACAAGTTATTGCTATAACTTAAGTGAATTTGAAGATTGAATCATGATGTTGTTCAGCCTTATAAAGGCAGAGCGTTAAGCTATTGATATATGACATGAATAAATTAAGGGCTAAAACCCCTTGTAAAATTATAAAATAAAAATTATATCTATTGTTTTGTTGCAATGCAAAGACCCAATCCCAAGATCTTGTCCCAGGACCCACTCAAAATCCCGGCTCAAAATACAGTGTATAAACAAATATTCTCTGAGCTGTCATGGCTTCCCTAAAGATGGCAGTGTAAAACTAGAAATATATATTCTCCACAACACGAATGAGATCAATTCATAAATATATTACTTGAAATTAAACCTTTCATTTTGTAAGAACACTCTTTTACACAAAACAATTTATTGCACTTCAAAAGGTGCTACATGTATAATTGTACATGTATATCGTGATTGCAGAAGTCTGGGAGGGTGGATGGCCCTATATATATAGACATTGCGGACTAGTGCCAAAATCTGGTTTTTGGGCATCCTGGGTAAATTATTTTTAAATTACATCTATTATTACAACTTACCCAATTTTGAAAATGCTAGCCTGAATCTATAGGGAGTTATCATGTACTGTACATTAATCAGTGGATATCAAGTACTGTACATTAATCAGTGGATATCAAGTACTGTACATCAATCAGTGGATATCAAGTACTGTACATTAATCAGTGGATCTGCCTCCATCCTAACAGTATTAAACTTGCATCATCATTACACATTAGACATTGATACATAGGGTTAAAAGGTAGGTTTGTATCAATGCCTTAATGGTGCAAGGGGCATGTAAGGTTAACCTTGGACAATGTAGGTTGAGAGGCAGAGATTGAACTCCATGTACTTAAACTCAAGTAGGTCACCAAACATACTATATACAAAACAGAAGCATTAGTTTAATAGTAAAATTTATTCTTTACATTAAAATCCATAGAAATTGGATGAAATAAAGGGATGGAAAACTGATTTTATTACCCTTCATATATTGGACGGATACCTTGTAAATCTATGTATATAAATATATATTTATGATAATAAATATGGCATATAAGAGTCATTTAATTAATACTCATACATACACATGCTCTTAAAATGACCACAGTATATACATGAGTATTTATTGATTGACTTGTCTATTCAGTAAGTTGTCATAGAAACATCTATAAAGACAATGAAATGAAAAAAAAGAAATATTTACAAAATTCTTTGTACAAATTGTCAAGTATTCAAGAACTAAGCATTACGTCACATCTATTTTCCAATTATGTTTTTCTATGGCAGGACACAAATCAAACAGTGTAGTACACGTATGTGTAATTTAATCAATCAAGACACAATTCTTAAACAATTTTTGGTCACCCTATACATTTTATATTTTCTAACAATATCATTTATTGGTATAAAAAACTTTTAAGTTGCTCAAGAGTATTTTCTCAGAATATCACAGTTTACAGAGTGTCCAAAAAGTTGTAGCTCTTGTCACCCCAAAAATAATCATCCATATTACTTAAAATTCCTTTAAAACACCCTGTAAAAGTCGATATATGGCCTTTCCCATCAGGATATGCAAATCCAATTGTTCATTTCATAGTTCCAATGGCTTCATAATTTGGCACAGAAAGTTCACATTTAGACAAATTATAGGACTTCCATATATTATAAGAAATCGTTCATCTATTTGATATCACATAATAAGGCCACACCACGTAGGATCCAATGATCTGGATTTTGATTGGTCTTCAACTGCACGGCAGCGATATATGTCAAATCGGTTCTACGTGGCTTCTTATAGATGGGGCATGCATATAACCGCGCATCTTGTCCACCACTGGTAGTGTTTATTGCGTAAATGTGGATGACGGGAAGAGGTTCAAAAAGAACTTTAGGTTTTGGTTCAATCAATTTGCAACCTCTACGATCCCAGCCAGCGCCCTCTAGGAAAAGTCCATAGACATAAACGCCCTCTGCTGGTGGTTGTGTTATGTCATCTTTTGAGTAGCGAGTCACGTCATTGTGTATAACAACTGTATCCAAGGCCCAGCCCTTGTGAGCTCTTGTCACCTCCTGGAAGCACAAAACAAGGTTTTATATTTATATATTACAAGTCTTAATTGCGTTTGTGTTTACAAAGCAAGGCAGCAATTCTAAATTTGTATATATTCAATAATATCATAAATAAATGAAACAAAAAAATAAATCAATTAAGATATACGTAAAAGTAAGGATTTTTCCACAAGTAGGAAGAATTTTCTCAAAATTGGTCAAAATATTTCAATTTTCATGATTTACAATCATTTTACCTGTCTCATAGCCGTAAGGAAGCCTTGAGGGTTGAAGAAACCTGTCATCCAGAAAGTGTTAGGACGTCCATCAAACACCCAGGAGTTGAACTGAGAATTACGCTCAATCATTTCTGTGAACCAGAACCCTAATGTGCTAGAATCCCAGGAAATCTACAAGAAGTAACTCCAAAATACAATAACAGTGATCATGTTTTTGAAGATGAAATAATTACTAAAGGAGAGGATTTTGCAATGAATAAGGTATAGACATGAAGTTAATGCTCCTGATTGGAATTAAAATCTGAAACTTTATTTAAATTAAAGAGAAAAGCATGGCCCGACCTGAGTAATATTATAATTTGCTGAGACGTATCGTTGATATGTCTTGACCAGCATCAGGATCGGTAGTTTTTTTTGAGTTGCAATATTGTATTTTCATGAGACAACTTTTTCGTTTTAGTTGTATTTTAAAATTCTTGATGCTAATGGATCAAAACGTACATGACTTTATCAAGGTAGTATCGCTAATTAATGGTCAATTGTGGCTTGAAAGTGGTAATATATTGAAAATGAAAAAATATCTTGCTTTAATGAACATGTTATTCTATTGCTTTATAACCGCATTGACCAATGATCAACATAGAACGTTATACTCCATTAATTTCATCAGTTAACTTCGCTGATAACTGAGCTAAAATAAGAAATGAAAAGAAACAGGCCACTGTGCTTATATACGAGGGTTGTCCCAGAAGTAATGCACTAATGCACTAGGTCAAATCAATATAAGGATGATAACTATCATGTAAAACATACCTTTTGCCAGGTAGCTGGTATTTTTGCGTCATACATGGAGTCAAGGGCATTACGTAGAGTTTCACTCATAATAATAGTACCATCTATTGCAAGTTTGAGATCAGTGAGTGTCGTTCGCACAGTCGATATAACACGCTGCATTCTGTCAACCTCCTGCTTCAGGAAAATGTTCATTGGCTGGAGGATACCCATCTTCTGTAGTCTGTCTTTCACCTCATGAGGAATGTAATCATTGGGGAGTTTCTCTAACATGTCATCAGCTAAGCGGTAGACTATGGTTTCACGGGTCTCTCCGCCACCACCTCCACTGTCCTTGGGCTGGATGTCCAAGATTGTATTCAGTATGGTGGATGCAGTTTTAGATGAGTATCTGTAAGGGTAAAGTACAAGGAAGTGTGATTTGTAAGGTACCTGTGAAATCTTTTTATTTTTTCATTAAAATCAATGTATGTTACTTTTTAAGGGAAAGCATTCATTGTAGACAGTTCCGGGTAGACAGTCATTATTTTTGTGTGAAAAAGTTCAAGACCTTCATTAAAATCTGTGCCCTTATCAGGATTCAAAGTCAACATCAACCATTTAATTTTTGAAATCAATATGATGCTGTCGTTTTATTAATTGAAAATTTATCTGTGACCTGCTCAGTATGAATGATAGTCACAATGGCACATATGGGAAATGATCTGATACATCGGTTAGAACTATTCCAGATTAATCAACATTAGTGAAAATATTATCAATCAGTGTAGCTGTTGTAGGGTTTACTCGAGTTGGGCAAAATATGTTTGGATAAAGGTTAAAAGAACGTAAATTATTCAAAAAAGTTCAGTACCATCATTCATAACCTATGTTCAGTAAATCAATATTAAAATCACCTGGCATGAGAAAAATATTTTTTATTTCTTTGTCTAGTAGTTTAAGAAATTGCATCAAAACTTTGATTTCTTGTAACTCTCAACATTTCTGTTAATATGATTGAATATCTAAAGCAGCTTACGTAATGTCAGCATTGGGATGCAGACCAAATGCTTCAGGGGTATCTGTGGGTGACATCTCATTGATAATATTGAGGTACTCATCGAGTTTCTTGCAACTAGGTATGGTGTAGCCTTTGTAGAACTGGAAGCTTGGACTGAACATGGGCTCTCCGAACCAGACACGACAGAATGTGTTCAACAGGCGTTTGTCATAGTCATCAGTAACACGTCCACCATATTGAATTTCACCAAACATGTAACGCACACATGTCCAGTTGACACCCTGAAATATGAATTTGTGTTTTAGTTGTATCTAATGCATGGTACTATCTATGCTCTGTTTCAGCAGACACAAGTAACACAGGAGTGAGAGGGGTGGGGGTTATCAGCTGTCTCCCTTATTGTCTCATAGCTTTCCAAAGATACCCAAATTGTCCATAGGGACAACTGACTTTTAAACTCCTTAACAAAGGACTTTTTAGGGTTTCCACTCAGGGACTTATATATATGAGCCTTTTACTGAATTTTTCTCTTACTTTTAGTAAAATCTAATACATGGATTGATGTTTAACAGGAAATTTTCAATGCCTCTATAATTATAATGTGAAAATGAATACAATGTATTTGACCAACTTCTATTTTATTAACTAACATGCAATCTTAGAAAATAACTTTGACTTGCTTCAATTTCTAGAAATGATTTTAAAGAATAAATATAAACAGCAGTTTTATTCAGTAGAGTAATGAAAAAGATGAATTCTATGCAAATATTTATTGAGCATGCTGCAACAATCATTTGGACACCATTACTAAGCCTGTAACTATGTACAGTGCTGCCATCTATCTCAATGATGCATTCTGGGAAGAAGTGTGCTGTGTATGATATGTTTTGCTTTATTAAAATTCATTTCTATGCTAAATTTTTGTGCTGATTCATAAAATAATCTAGCGCATAAAATATGAATGATATGTCTAGGCTGATGTGCTGTCGAAAAAGATGTGAAGACCCAAATTGGTTTCGATTGGTTGACTAGCTCACCGACTCCTTCTTTAGGATCTTCATCCGCCACTTCTCATAATGTTGAGAAAACAACTCTCCAGGTCTAAGCGACTGATGTAATAATCATCAAATGATTCAAAAGTTATAAACATCAATCTTTTTGGAAGATGAGACATTAATCACAAATCTTTTACGCCCTCCCCGAATATAAATAATTACATTTCATTGATATCATTCATTTAATAATCTTGCTTTTTCTCCAGCGTAGTAGCCAGCTATATATTCTTACCTTTTTGATATCCATATCATCCAAGTGATTCTGTACATATTGGACACTAGCGTTGAAATCTGATGAGTTGAACTCATATGGAATGTTCCAGCCAAGGGGTCCAAATTTCCTCCTCTCTTGTACACAGGTATGCAAGAAAGAGACCCCATAGAGCATTGGTTTCCACTGAGGCATGTTTGAAACTTCTAAGAAATCTTGCGTCATGCCCTGGTATGTACGCTTTAAGCCAGCTTTAATACCCTGGGGTGGCTCATTCGTAAACTTGATTGATATCTGCAAATAAATATGCAAAAGTAATTAAAATCCAATTATAATATTTTCATCAGTAGATATCTATTTCAGAAAAACAGCTGTTAACAAGGCATTAACATGAAAAATGTCACCACCTGCCATTTGCTACAAACACCGATCACTGTTACTTTACAGACGCTGACCACTGTCCACAAAAAGTTTGAGAATATAACTATACGTCACCACTTCTGGTGGTGCCATAAAAATGCTAATAACTGGTATGACTAGGACTGAATGGTCAATGGTGATTATATTAGTTATTGAAATAAATAGAGATTATCCTATATGAGGTTCAGGATATTGGGATTATCCCGAGGCCAATATAATATATCTGCCCGAGGGCCGTAGGTCCCGAGGGAAGATATATTATATTGGCCAAGGGATAATCCCAATATCCTGAACCGACTATTGGATGATCTGTTTATCCCATACCAATCACATTGTTCAATTGTTGCAACCAACCATGGAATTATTTTAAAATCTTCATGTCCAGTTTTGTATTCTTGTCCGTAGCCAGATTTTCTTGTTCAAATATTTGATTATTAACAGGGCATACTGCTCCTTCCCTTCTCTAAAGCATCAAACAGATCGCGATTGTCTGCGTTTTTCTCCATTGTCGTTTACAGTATGCGAACTGACAAAAAGAACCAATACGGGAACAGCGATTATGACGTAGCGGGCAGATATACTATATCTGCCCGTTCGGAGCGGGACGTAAAGCTATATCTGCCCGCTGATGAAAATATAAGTTTTTACAAACCGGCTTTATGTACCCGTAACACGTCCAAGTATGGGATAAAAACAGATATTCATCTCAATAGAATAAAACATTAATTGTTCATGATGTCAAAAACGACTGCTATATTGTTATATTAAATTACAACCATTTCAAAAACAGTTAACATTTAACATTAAGCAAATACTGTTAAACAGAACATATTTATCAAATCATTCATCATTTTGAACATTGAATTCATATAGAAATAACGTAAGGCAATAGTATCTTTGATTAGGATATTTTGAACCAAATCCGTCAACAAACAAACGTTTAACAAACGGAAGAATGAACAGAGGGATATATAAACTGATGGATTGAAAATTGGATGGATGGCTTCTCTGTATCTCTACTTGAACTTTGTTTGTTGTGATAAATGAGGGTTATGTTTTGGGAGGTTTTGGATATGGGGTATATCCTGAGGGAAATGTAGATATCTTACTGGGGCCCATAAGGTTTCGATTCTATATCCCGCTGTTATGTAGCTGAAACCTCACTTGTCATGGGATAAAAAGAAATATTTAGTCTTTTGGTATCAAAGGCCAAAATAGATCCTTGTCAAATCATCGGGAGATGAATAGATAATATATGGTCATTAGGATGAAATGATTGCTTTATGTCAAACTTAAATGTTAATTGATTCAAAAACTCATTCTAATGCTTCACTGTTTACGAACCATCATGAAACAAATGTTAAGTCACCATAAAGTAGGATTATTAGTTCTAATTACAACATTGATTTTTACTTATTTGAACGTCCAAAATATGAGCAAAGAAAATATTATGATAAAAGATGCTTTAAAAGTTGAAGGTGGTGAAGATGCTGAGTACAATGATGAAAAAGTGAAACACATAATGTCAATGACAGCAGAAGAAATTCAGGAATCCTATACAAATGATTGCTCCAACACCAAGATCGATAAGTGGGTTCAACAAGAAAGAACTGAGATTGAAGATGAAGTATCTAACATAAAAGGACACAGACTCCCAGATATCATCCTGATTGGTATGTTTAAAGGAGGTACTGGTACGCTAAACACATGGTTGCCAAGCCACCCACAGGTTGCTAGGGTAAAACTTTCTGGTTACTATGCAACTGATGAAAAGTATAAGTTGAGTCATAGAGAGCACTTGTTACTGATGCCAAATGTCTCAGATGATGAAATAATATATGAACGATGCACTGAATGTTTCACTAAACAAGCCGCGAGAGAAAGAATCTTAGCTGCATATCCACAAAGAAATGTTAAGCTTTTTGTGATGGTTCGTGATCCAATAGAGCGGCTAATATCTGGATATGTACAAAATGTTATCCAAAACAAGACAACAAAAAACAAAGTGCAAATAAAGAAAACTTTTGAAGAATATATATTCTACTCAAATGGGACCATACGAACAGATACAGAATATTTTCAAAAAAGTTTTTATGTAGCTCATTTTGCAAAATGGCTAATGCTATTCCCAAAGGAAAACATTCATTTAATTGATGCAGAAATATTCACGAAAACCCCATGGATAGAACTCCAGAAAATAGAACAGTTACTAAAAATTGATCACTTCTTCACGAAGGATCGATTTCCTACTAACCCCGAAAAGCCCAACTTCCGTTGTTTTATAAAAGATTATGAAGAAGGAATGCAATGTATGGGAGAAGCTAAGGGTAGAACTCATCCAAACATTTCAGAAGAAACGATGCAAACATTGAGGAAATATTTCAAACCATTTAATGAACAATTTTTTACCCTTGCAGGTCAGAAGTTTGCATGGAGTGTTTATTATGAATGAACAGAATAAGCACCGAGTTATGTTTAGATAGATATTGATATGAGAGGACATGCAATTTGACACTCAATTATTTGGTGATACGAGGAATTTCAAATTGGTTAATTCAAACTACAACTTTGACGAACACTGTAACAACTTTGAAGTATCAATCTAGGTCAACATTAACCAACATTATAATGACTCAAGCTTAGTAGAAGTATTCAGAAATGGCTGATCTAACTGCTTAATAAATGGATTATAGTGCAAATGTCTAAAGACCCCTTACAGTAAGAGTAATAACGGCTTACCTGTAAGAAACTAATGGGGAACTTAGGATGTTCCTCTGTGGTGACCCAGAGGCGGAAACTATCATGCACATTTTCTGTCTCTACAACTGTATTGAGGACTTCATCCATGAAATTGAGTCCCAAATGACAGTTCTGTAGCAATACCCAGCCTCCATTGGCCATAGCATTTGCCATTAAGGCACGTGCGTGAACCTCTTGACCTTGACCCATGGAGATTGCTCTGCACTCTGAAAATGAACGCAAACAATAACAATTGAGGTATATATAGATCATCGTTCAAGATTGGGCTTCACTGCTACAGCAGATATGGAAAGAAGTGAAATGTCCAAGGATCATCTGATGAAAATTTTTTAATGTTATTTTCATTATAATAATTATCAATAATTAATAATTTTGTTAACTAAACAGATTATTACATTATCAAGAATCCATGGTGTACATACCCATCTTGTGTTTCTTAGCTAGGGCCTCTATATTGTTGGTAGGATCGGACCCCATAGATAGTAAACAAACCAGTGGCTTTCGAATGTCACTCTCCTCCCACATTTTCTCGAGGTCGAGAATCACACCCTCAGCAAATTTATCTCCAAGGGAATCAGCAATGTATTTCCTTGATTGTGGCAAAGTACGATCAGGGCACCAAGATCTGACCAATAGGAGGCGGCGGAACACATCGAGAGAATTATTGTAGCCGTCTGGGATTATTTCCTCTTCTGGTGCTTCTTTGTCGAACCACTGCTTCCATTGCTTCTCATTTCTAGCAACCTTCATTTGAGAAAATAAATTGTGATATGTTTGTTTTGATCGTTTTTATGTATAAATTAATTCATTAAAACATATTTGAGGTTACAAGACCTTAACTGGAAAATGGATGATTATATCTGTAAACTTTACAAGTGTTCGAAAAACACAAAATGACACAAGTGAATAATTCAAATTTTTTTCTCTTTGGAACATTTACTGATACAATCATTGATTTTATACTCAACAACAATGATCAAAACCCTTCATACATTATAAACTGAAAACCCAAAAGGTCCCTACCTGTTCTAAGATACCAGAGAACTGATGTAAATTGCTTAGTTCCACCAAGTTCAACCAGGTGGTGTCTGTGATCCATTTAGAGGGTTTTGGTGTTACCACATTCAAGTCCAGTGCGGCTCCACCTATAATAATCAAAAACATACATTGAACTAACACTATGGAACTATGGCAATATAACAAACAAGGCATTAACATGCAAATATCACCACCTGCCATTTGTTACAGAAACTGACTGACGGAAGCACCCTCCAAAGCAAGCAGAAGATGTGCTAACAAGGATGGATAAAAACAATTTGAATTCTACAAATCTTAATTCACAATATTTCAAGAAACATACCCCTGATGCGGCTACATTAAAATATAAACAACAGGACACTGATATGATAACATAATACACACATACCCTTAATAAGTGTTTGGAATTCCTCGTGTTTAATCTTGTTCATTCCCATGTCAATCTTCAGAGCCAATAGGATTGTGAATGTCAACTTGTCGCTCTCATAGAGACCTCTAGCTGCATATCTGAACACCTCAAATGTCATGTATTCAATGATGTTTGTGATACGTTTCTGGGGAATAGGCGACTTTGTTGATCTGAAATGTAAATTGATGTAATATATTGTATTGATTATATTGTATTGTATTGTACTGTTGCATTTATATTGTATAGTTTGGTATGGTATTACATCATACTATTTTGAATTGTATCATGTATTGTATTATGTTGTATATTACAATGGATAGTATTGAATTGGATTACATTGTATTGTACATTTTGTATTATGTTGTATATTTTATTCTATAATACTATAGTATTGAATTGCATTATATTGTATTGTATTGTACATTTAGGTAATTTGTACTGTATAGCAATAGCCTGATGACTTACTTTAACATAGATGCATCGAATAGCTCCAAGAATTGCCTGAGTGATGTCTGGTACATTGTATTAACCATGCTCATCTCTGTGATAAGGAAATACAGGATAGACCCACGGTTTGCTACAGGACGATATTCCTCACGGGCCGTATTGATTTTGATTTCTGTATCAGCAGCAATCTGGAGTTTTTGACTGACTTCTTCTGCGGTGATTTTTGTGACTTTAAGCACATTGATCAAATCATCGTCATCAACCAGAGAACCCTGAAAGAAAATAAGTACAATTAATGAAAAATAAATAGTAAGGGATTATTGATGTTACTTAAGAATGAAGAAGTAATCATTAAGAAAAAATAAATATAGAAGAAAGTTCACTAATGACTTGTAAATCAATCAGTTCACTGTCACAATCACATCCCTCCACTTCTACACAAATGTTAGGTTTACAATGTCAGGGCATAATTTTAACAGTCAACTCCTGGAGAGGTCTATAATTGAGGACTATATACCTGTGTACTTGTGAGTCTGTACAGCAAGTTGTCTTCAAGTTCTTTCATCTTGCGCTTGTTGGAAGTCACATCCTCCATGAGTTTCACACGCTCGCTCTCCAGTTCCTGTTTCTCCGTCAAGATGACACGTCCTAGCAACTGATCTTCTAAACCCTTCATTGTCACAGTGAAATCTATTATAGATGTCCTCGCAGATATCTCAGGTGTATATGCTGGGTTTGGGAGTTTCGTTGTGATGTATAAAGCGAAACCATTCATGACGTCACATTCTTTATCACCGACCTTGACCTTGAATGTTGAACCTGACTTGATATAGTTTTTCTCAAGGACGTTGTCCAATGCTGGATCAAGTTCTTCTCCTACATCTTCAATTAACAATGGCCGCCCAAGTGATAATGAATCTTCCAGATGCTGACGGAAATATTTATGATTCAGCGAGGTTAGTTGCATTTCTTTATCGGCATTCCTGTTCTTAATCCAGATTTTACCTTGACCTTGAGGATCAATTAACAATGGGAAACGTGCAGCTTTCGTGACAACAATACCATTCTGCACTGAAAGTTCATCATTGGGCAATCCTTCCAGATTCCAAACTGCTACAGTGTTAGCATCAGTTAACATGTCCACGACGTTAAGACTTGCAGTGAATGGGATTTTCCTTGTTTTCATTTCTTTCATCCATGACTTGTTGAGTAAGGTCCTGAAGTCCTGGTTGAAGGGCCCAGAGTACGAGAGGAAGGCTGTGGAGAGGAGGACATCACCTACCAATCTGAAAAATGTGAAAACATGAATAAACCATTTGTTAAATGCAAAAAGGCTTGACGGATTAGGTAACAGTAAAATCAGTAGCCATTATTATTTCAACACTCAATACTTTCATTGTACAGAAATGCAAGAAAATTAGACACTTATTCAAATGTGTACGGAATGTACAAATAAATGCTGTTGATATGTAACCTGAGGTGATTGATATTCTAAGAATGGAAAAACTTAACCTGATAATTGTACAAAATACAACACACAGCATATTTGTGTGGAACTATGAGTACATTGAAGGAGCCCATAATTACAATATACTTGTTTTAGCATATTTGTGAAGGTACAATAATAATGCTCGGGTGTCATAAGCAACATGCAAAAGGCAGTAAGTTGTTCTCAATTGTTTTTACATAAATTGTCTGTTGTTTGGAGAAACTTTTAACCGTTTTCATGTTCAATTATAATTTCGAGTAATTTTGGCTATTGCTTTCATTTGTTGCCATTTGTAATTCTGATGTTCTAATATTGAGAACCAAGGTGCTTAGAGTGATGCATGTTGAACCGCTCTATATAAGCTACATCTATTGCACATCAACTATTTGTTCCCTTCTGTTTTCCTTGTTTGCGTTTTGGGAGTGTTCTACTTGTTTGTTTCCAACATGCATAGTGTGATCATAAAGTTCTCATAATATTTTTCTAATTTTTTCTCATGCATGCATATTCTTATGAAAAAAAAGATATTCAAGAACTTTATGATCACCCCTTGTACATTAAAAAACTGACCTCCTTTCTTCAACTTGACTGGGAATTTATGAACATATTATATTAGTAAATAAACTAAACTAACAACAATAAAAATGGTTCACAACAACATTCAAAATAGTAAAATTATGAAAATGCAAAAATTTTCATGCGGGATATGATGGATATAGAAAATGTGACTATAATAAAATGTAAGAAAATGTATAGAGTCTTGCATTAAGTCTCTGGACCCCTTCCCTATCTAGTTCACCATCAGATGTGTGGTGTAAATGGCGAGGGGGGGGGGGGGTCAGAAGGATTTAAGCAAAACTACAAAATGTATTTCCAAGGAATACACTGTTATGATGCCTGTTCATACTAATCCACATATACACAACTCTGTAAATAAATTGATTGAAAAAGATGAAAGAGAATGATGATGTGTCTCCATACCTTCCAATCTGTGCCTTGAATTCTTTACTCTGTTCCGTCCATCTTTCTTTCTCGCCTCCGAGACCACTGATAAGGGCAGATGCTGCACTCATCTTGCGGCGACAATTCTCTGCATCGTCCATCAAACGCTAGCGAAAATATCAATAATAGATTAAATAAATATCAAATAAATTGTATATATGAATTTGTATATAAAATATATACCAGTATCATTATTTATACACAGCCAGTAAGCGGTATGTGCATGATGAAAAAGAAAAAAAATATCCATAAAATGTACAATACAAAGATTCACAAGGCTTTATTCATGTTAACTTCTTATTTAGCTTATATTCGCAAAACTTTTGGATGTCACCTTGCGGATTAATCTATTATTTTATAACCAACTCAAATAAATATGAATGGAATAGACATGGTGGTGGGTACTATTCATATTTAGATGAGTTGCCCATAAAATAGTCTGTAATTTGGTAGCTTAAAGTTGCAATCGCGAATACAAATTTTAGTCTCACAAATCTATTTCTCCTAATGATTGAGACGAATATAAAAGTTATGTTATGGTACCTGTTTTTCGGCCATAGCAGCATCATACATAGCTTGCACCTCATTAAGTTCTTTCTGTTTGGCATCTAGCTGTGCCTGAGCTTGGTTCAAGTCAGCCATGGCAGCATTCAAACGTGCTTCTTGGACTTTCAAGTTAGCCTGGAAATAATATGGGATGCATTTATGAAGAGCATTCTGATTATGTTTAGTGTTCACTAATCATAATGGTATGATATCCGCTATGTATCCTTATCAAATCATTTCCTTCTTAATAATATTTAATTGGTTCATTTGCTTATTTTCCCATTTACCCATTTAGAATTAACAAAAAAGAAAATAAAGTTCAAAGAAAATCTACCTTGAGTGGTAGGACTTCTTTATTTATAAAAAAGAATGTCTTCATGGCCATGGTCCATGTACATAAGCCAGCCACGTTGCCGCAGACACGTCTTGCAGTATCTACATTGTAGTCCTCAGAAGAGAGGTACGGCTCCATCAACTCCACCATTTCTTCATTGATCATATCCTTCGGGAAATTCAAAAGAGCTTGCAGGAAGTTGCCAGCAGACATCAACTGAAAAAACAAAATAAGTTACTACTTGTTGCTAGCAGACATCAACTGAAGAAAACAAAATTAGTTACTACTTATTATAACTGTATACATGGCAACTTTGCCTATTTTTGCCCGCAAGTTGACATGAGCACATTAACTGAAATTTTTGTGGATACAGGTATGTAATTAACCACCTGTCATGTGACCCTCCCCTTTATAAATGTTGAATAATGCTCACCCTTAAAGCTTCACTCCAGGCTGGTGTGGTGGACATCTTCTCATAATCAATTTCCACCGGTTTCTTGACATTTTTCCCAAACAGTATTAAACAACAGTCCATAATCCTCATGATCAAGTGAGGTGGTTTACCCAGCTTTCTTACCTGAAAGAAATGTAATTCATCAGCTTGTTTCTAAGTTTCTGATTGGTCAATGTTTAGCATCACATGACCAAAAGTAGGAATGTTTTATCCAAATTGTAATCCTCAAATAAACAAAGTGAATCACCCGCTAATTAACCAATGTTAGATTTTGTAGTCATGGGTCTTCTTAATTAATCAAAGTACATGACTGAAAAGCTGTCATTGGGAGAGATTAAGGGCCCTATGTAAAGTTATATCCACTTTGGCTTATTTTCTCCACACTTTGACACAATAATACATATACATGTTTTCTTAAAAAAATGCTATCATGGGCAACTTGAAAGGCTATTCGATCACCAAATAAGTTGTGTCATTTATGGTTTTCAATTTCATATACTCACAGTTGCAATATCAGCAGGTTTGATGGTATTAAGAGCAGCCTCTGCTTCTTCAAGAGCTGGTCTGGCCTTCTCCAGCTTAGCTTCAGCTACAGTTTTGTCAGCTTCAATGGAGTCTACAATGGCCTGGGCCTTATCCTTTACCTACAAGTGGAGTGGAGGAAAATGCATGAGGTAATAAAAATTGATAATGTACATGTAAGGCCAAATGTCTGTTTAGAAGGATTTGTGAGAAAATGACCAGGTGACTTGGATATATAGCAAAATGAGATGTCAAAATGAAACAAAGGGATTCGCATGAAAAATGTCACCATCTGAGTTTATGGAAACATATCTGAGAGAATATACACTACACTAAAGATACAGGCATATACAATAACTAATACTACAGACTGTCAGTACTATGTAAAGTTTTGCACCAATCCTTTGTACTATTACATCCTTCAAGATCATTGTGTAGAAATTTATTTCCATGGTAAGAAAACTTATTTTCCTGGTACAGTATGTCCTCCATAATTAGGAAGTTTTAATGCTGGTATGCTCAACCCTTTCTGCATTTGAATATATGATGAGAATATGAAGTGTTCATAGCATTCTTATAATATCACTTATTTATTTTCATTAATATTAATTTTATTAATATAGAACATATTGAAAAATTAGACAATTAGAGAGTAATATGATGATAACTTTACAATCACCCCTCAATACAGTTATTTATTCTTTTTTAAGAAGTAATTTATTTGTCTTAAAAATCTATTCAAAACAATCACAAGCAAAACTCCTGAGAATCTCTGCTTTCGGGTTTCTTGCAAAAAAACTCAGAATAGAAGAGATAAAGTGCAAGAAAAGATCATGAGAAAAGATAAAGGAAAGTGCAAGAAAAGATCATGAGAAATAAATCTAGGAATTTAAATCTAGAAAATTAAATTGTTCACATTCTAAGCATATGTAAAAATGCATGCAATTTTTGTTCTAATTATATGATTACATCGTGTGATTCATTGATTGATGAGGGTTTACAAATAAGATGAAAAAATTGAAATTCTATTCTATTTTTGTAAATATTATATATATAAATGATCATTTTCTATTTGTCTATTTCTATAAATGTTCTCCTCAGACTTACTCCATCCTGTTAAAATAATATGTAAATATTCAATTGATATCACAATATCTAAACATTTTCATGAAAAACTCTACAACTAATCTACAGTACGACTTACACCTATATAATGTAGTTTACAGACAAACATCTTTAACAATACATTTTGGTCCAATGAGAGGTCAGAAATTACTGAGATATTGAGGTTTGCTTTAATTTCTATTTTACATTCTAACCCTCAAATCCTTACCTTCTATGATGTACTACTTATTTCAAGCCTATTTGTTACTATAAAACTGTCAAATATGTTTAATATTTGCAATTCATTCAATGATCAAAAGACAAAACTATTGACGCCTTACTGACCAATCACAATCAAGTATTTAGACTGAGGTGTGTGCAATTTGAAATACTAACCTTTTGTACTTGGTTCTTGACCTTCTCGGCAGCCTGGGCCTTAGTGGTTACCTCCTTTAATACCTCCTCTGCCTTGACGTTAGCAACTGCCAGATCTTTCTCCTTCACTACCAGTTCCTTACTAAGCTCTGCCACTGAGGCAGATGCTTCAAGAAGTTTCTCCAAACCTACAACATTAACAGGGGCAAATTCAGAATTTTCAGTTAGGTGTGGGTTAGGTGAAGCACACTCATCGAATGGGCAATGACAAGGTTTTCCTAACTTACAAACAGGGGCAAATTCGTAATTTTCAGTTTGGTGTGGCACACTCATTGAATTGGCAATCCCTTGGGCAATGACATGGGGAATATCATTTTTATTCAAGTGAATATATATTTTTCCACGAGAAGTCCACAAATTATTTTTGTTACCTTCATTCATCCTGTCAGCAAGATCACCAATTTCTGTTTTTTTCTCAGCGTAGATGGTTGTATAGCCACTAATGAATGACAGGTATGACTTAGGGGTGACGTGAGTGGTACGACGATACCTAAAAGAGAAAGAGGAAGGATTTAAATTAATTAAAGATTAAAGACTCAACATTAATGTGACAAGAATTGGTGTTACAGAAATAAAGCAGCTGAAAATGGTTACCCTTTATTCTAAAAAAATGATTTAAAAAAGAAATCTTATCCTCCTACGACAAACTCTACATTTACTTCCAAAACTATAATATTGTGTATATAAATACTTTTGTACATCCTAACTGAAAATTGTTTATATTTTGCAAAACCTTGATCAAAATGATAAAAATGGCTGAAAGTTAAAAACAAAAAAACAATGCTCCCTACCTCTGGAAATATTCTACACAATTCTCCGCAACTCCATCATGGAACATCCCCATAGCTTGGATGACTTGTTTCTTCACCTCGGGACTGCATACAATGTCAAACTGACCCAGAATGTGGTCAGCTACAGCGATGAGGGCATCTTTTGGCCAACGTTGGAACCAATCCATGGTACATCCAGAAATCAAACCAGGGAATTTTAATGCACGACTTCTGAATTTTTCACCAACCTGGATTAATAAACATTATCAAATATTAATGATCATTATCTATTTAAATCATAATACAGACATAAATATACGTTAACAAAAATACTTGATTATGTTATTGTCATACTAGTTTTTAAAATGTAAAATAATTTGATCAAAAATAGTATAATTTTCCTTTATGCTTTTAAAGTTACTGGATAGTATATCAATGTTCAGACTATATTCAAAGGAACATGAATTTAAAAAATTCCACTTACATTGTAGATATCAGCAAAAATAATTCTAATTTTTTTAAAATCTATTAATATACAATAAATGAAATACAATATTTAAAATAAATTATACTACTTACTGGAGAGAAGCAAAGAACAACATGAAGGTTGGCGCGTGTTCTGCTAGTGAAATAATCGTAAAGATTTTCATTGGTTGGTGGTCGACGTGGGTATTCCTTTTTCATTACAGGGATCAACTCCTGGGTTATTTCATCCATCTCATCACGGGCAAACAGGTTGGACACCTACAACATTAATGTAATAGCAAATGTAGCTTAAATACTGTAAAAAACTTTCTCAAGTTCTACTGAATATCTTAACAAGTAGCAACTCTGGAAAGTCTTCTATTAATCAGGAATTAAATGCACAAAAAATTAATGCATTAAATAATGCTCGGATGTGAAATTCCTCATACAGCCAAAGAGTGCCAAATTAGCAAAAATATTGCAAAAGATCATCAAAACAACCTTCTGAGCCAGTTTCACAAAGACAGATCACTCCTAAATCAGCAATCATCTCTTCTAAGAAAAACCTTCCTGCATATTTACACACACAGTTTTTATTTTTAAAAGTTTAACAATTTTTTAACAACAACTTACCACGCCTGATGAGAGAACATTGTTCATGTACTCCAAGAATGCTTCATCTTTAATCTCATTATCTGTAAAGATGAATGTGATTCCTTTGCCCTGTTGACCAGCTGTCCTATATAGATATTTCAAGTCCTCCATCAGGTTGGATGTATTATAGGACCTGGAAGTATATATGCAAATCACTCAATGACCAGCAAATCAATTATTTAAATTCATTACCTATTTATCTATGAGTATTTCATGAAATAATATAAAAATGTCCATTGTTTGAACTGAATTAAAGAATTTGGACTTCAAATACCAAAAGAGTTAATAAAAAAAATTCAATAAGCATAATTTGTTACCTAAAAGAAATAAATGCCCTTAGAATAATATATGTATAATAAATATCAGAGATAAGTTAGAATCTAATGTGTGTCAACTGGTCAATTGTAGCATATATTGAGGGTGATTGGAACTTTATACTAAGACCATTAATTATAAAATGTCACATCCAATAATATTATTAGGCCCATGAATAGTAGGCTTATTTTATTTTATTTTATATTATTTTATTTTATTTTATTAGAAATATATGCCTGAATCTTTTTAAAACTCTCAAAATCCTTCAATATGTAAAAAAATAGGGCGGATTTCAGATGACCTAGATACAAGACTTTTGTAAGGGCCTTACTACTACTTATTTGCAAGGGAGCAGGAGTACATTCTGTAAATAAATAAGTGGAATGGTACAAGCATTCTATGTGCATAATTACTGTACTAGAAACAAGGAATTGCTCAATATACCATATTGTCCTGGTAAATCAATTTATAAGGCAAGTTCCTGGAGCTTAACATGTGACTTTATTACATACGCAGAAATCTGATTTTGCAACCATTTCAAGTACAATAGCATATTGGATATACATAACATGATATTATGTAACCCCTTAGATAAGTAAGTCGGTGAAAGGTAAAGCATGGCAAGTGCATTAAGTTTATTCTGACGCTGAAAGCACTTTTAAGACATCTACTGTATAATCTCAGTACAGAAAGTCCAACAGTTCAAGTATAAGGGCTATAAGGTCTCAGAGTTCTAGTTATATCAACTCACAGTAGAAAAGTGCCACAATAAAAGAAATGAAATATCAAATGATAAATTGATGAGACTCCTCAGTAAAAGTACATTTCAGTTAAATAATCGCTGTTTATATATCAAAGGCTTTGAAGTTAGAATCATCGTGACATGCACTGCGGGATATTGACAAGAAAGTTATGAAATATCACTGGAAAACAGGAAAAAGGAAGTAACTGATACTGCACAATGGTTGGTCAATTTCTAGTTGGTTGTATTGTACTTATCGTTACCAGGTGGATTTATAAATGGATATCTCAGAAAAAATGTTCTGCCCCTGGACCCCCAGGTCTTCCCGTTTTGGGGAACATTCTCGATCTGAATTCCAAATTTCCATTCCCTCAATTGGATAAATGGAAAAATGAATATGGTGATGTGTATAAATTGAATCTCAGTCTAATCGAGACAGTTGTCGTACATGGGGAGGCCGTCTATGATATGTTTGTCACGAAGGGTGACGCAATCGCTGGGAGGCCCAAATATGGGCGTCTAGAGCTAATGAATCATGGGGAAGATATCGTCACGCGATCAGCTGATGATAAATGGAAAGCTTATCGTAAAATTGCTCATCAAGGATTGAGGCAATATGGCTGTGGTATTCCACATATTGAACAAATATGTATGGAAGAGGTCCAGGACTGTATTCAGAGATTTGACAGAACGGGTCCCTTTAATCCATATGATGATATGTACCTTACAGTGGCTAATATAACACTTATTATGGTAAGTATAAAGTAAGTACATTGTACAACATTCAAATGTTTTTCAGAACAAGTGCCTTTAACCAATACCCTGCATTAATGAATTATGAACTATTGACACTCTAAGGTAGAGTTGTGTCTATTTTAGCATGAGTGGTATTCTGCCGTGCACATGATAAACATAGTACTTTGACACAGTAGTGACATGATGTTAAACGTGAATCTTCTTAAATACCTTCTTAAGACTAAAGTACATTCATGATATCAGTCTAATATCATTCTGATACTCATAGCATCTCTCTCTGTTGCATCGCAGAAGGATAGAGATGGAGAGGGCGTGCCTTACCACGATGGTCTTATATGCTAAACTATAACATTGTTATATCATCTGATATCATCCAGATACAAAACTATAATCTGATTACAGATGACTGGTGAACGGTTTGACAAGAATGACCCATGGCTTGAAAGGACAGCGAGGATAGAGAAAATTGGGGCACAGGCATTTGGTATAGATGGCGTTTATCTGGATATGTTTCCCTGGTTACGTCATATCCCACATAAGCGAGGAGATCTTTTTAAAAATATTTTACAAGAATTACAAGATTATCTAGGTCAGCTTGTCGCTAGGAGTAAGGTATACATAAAGAACACCTCTTTAAAATTAATATCCCTCTAATATGAACAACTAAAATGTGAACACTTCTTCATGAAAAATGTTCAAATGGAAGCACATCCTCTTGCTCAAGATGATTTACATTAATGACAGAAACATATATTGCAAAAGCACAATTTCTCCTCCATTCCACATTCCATGAAACCGAAAAATCTGTTGATTTTGTAGAGTTCCTTAGATGAGAATAATGTGCGGGGTATGTGTGATGTCATACTGTTAGAACAAGAGAGGAGAAAAGACACAGCTAATGCAATTAATGATGGCACTGTGAAGGGAATATGTCATAATCTCATATTTGGAGGTGAGGATTTACCCCTGATCCAAAAATGAGTTACTATAGCAACCATACATTTGACCAATTAGAGCATTGTATTTATTTTTTGTGCCTCAATGTACAAACATTTTCTCTTTATTCAATGAAGGTTTCAATGACAAAATATTAGAATATAAAAAATTAGGGCATTTTTTAATGAACTTTTTAAAATTTCATAAGACAAGAAATGTTGAAATGGCAAATGAAGTCAATTTACTTGTGGATGTGATGATATATTGTAAAGCTAACATTAGGAAATCACATCCATTTTATAAAATCTATTCAATAATTTCAGCAATCATCACCACGACAACAGCTCTGAACTCCATGATGGCATATTTACTGGACTACCCCAAGGTTCAGGAAAAGCTTCATGAAGAGATAGACAGAGTCATAGGAACCAGGTATGACATGCCCCACTAGACAGTGGAAGGAAAATCCTGATTGTCTTTAGTGTAAATGAGTACTTTGTAAACCTGGTCATGTTTCAATTCATGAGGCTTTTGTAATTTTGCTTTGATTGTTAGAATAATGTTGTTCTTTTTAATAAGAAACACCATTATAGTAAATACAAGTACAGTATTGGTCTAATGGGTATTAATTATCCAAGAAACACATTATGATGATTCAATGAAATCTATTTATGAATGTTCTTCTATACTATAAGGTTACCAACGTTAGATGACCGAAGAGAGATGCCTTATATGGAAGCATTCATCTTAGAGTCTCTGAGGTACATGTCACATATTCCTACAGTGCCACAGGAGACCATGAGAGATACAACACTCAATGGACATTTCATACCACAGGGAACGCAGGTTTGTTTGTTTGTTTGTTTGTTTGTTTGGGAACACCAGTCGTTTGTTGCTTGTCAACATTAAATTGGATTTTAAAGATTGAGGACTCAAGATATTAAAGGGAAAGTAACTAAGAACACAGTTTGGTTTGTGTCTATCTGTACTGTATCAATTCAGGTATGGCCGAATTTGTTCAGTCTTCACCATGATGAGCGGTTCTTCCCTGACCCCTGGACATTCAAACCTGAGAGGTTCATAGACACTGAGGGAAAATTGGTCCCAGCAGACCAGAGAAAACAGTAAGACCATTTGATAAACAAGAAGTATGCAACATATTTGATACACAATAATGCAATCGGCACTACATAGTTGCACATGTTCTTGAATACTTTGGGAAGATTACAATATAAGCAAAATAGTGATCTAAATATTACATATGGCCTTTAACAAAATATGCTTTATATGTGATGTTCTTGTATGTTCTTTAAGCAAGATGTGAAAACCTTGTTGAAAGAGTTGACAAAATAGTTACGGTTTGCCTAAATTAATTTCTAAATCATGACTTTCTCAACTGATTCATAAATTCCTATTTTCAGCTTGATGCCATTTGGAGCTGGCATTCGTGTCTGTGTAGGTGAACAAATGGCGAGAGTAAGAATGTTTATATTCCTAACAACGATGCTACAACATTATACATTTCTCCCAGGATCCCCTGACAATTTACCAAACTACGACCCGAGGAAGGGCATTATGGGAGCTGTCCTGAAAATGGAGGAATACGAAGTTCGACTTCAGAAGAGAATTTGAACAATACAAAAGTGTAAATTCAATTCTTTGATTTGAAAAGTGTACCTGAATTATAACAAATAAAAAAAACATATTAAATATACTGTACATGAAGTTCTATATTGAGATAGGGAGAAAAATTCTTGTTGTCAAGGAAAACTGTGTGCCTTAACAGTAAGATTTCATGACTTAAAACTAAAAACAAAAAATGAACAATAAATCATAATTTCCAACTCAAGAAAAATGTTATAAAAATGCCTAACTCACCGAGTAAGAGTAATTTGGAATGTTTTATATCCAGCAATAAATGAGGCAAGTTTCGTCAACGACTGCTTTCCAGAGCCTCCCACCCCCACAAGCAGAGCATTTCCCCTGGGGGTGCTAATAATACGTGAGATCTTGATCAAATGGATCATAGCATCTTTGAAGAACACCAAGTCCATATTAGAGCCCCTGATGGCCTCGTTCATTTGTTGCATGAAGAACTTCAGTCTCGCCTCCAATTGGTCAAACGATTCAATCTGGAAAAAATGGATGATCGCACATTGTAGTTTGAGATTACAGGGTGTCACTGATCACTGGAGGCTTATAGCATAGCCATTTAGTTTGGATCTCAGCCAGTTGATTTTTTCAGCATGTATGTGTTGGCAATATTGTAACAATTTTCAACTGGCTAAGATACCATTTTATCAATATTATATTCAATATTGAAAACATGTCAGCAATATTTAGCATAATAACCAAAAGGACGAATTACCGATAGAATGAAACATCAAAAAGCACGTGAAGTAACCCAGAATCAAACCCAAACACCCAAATCAGTGATCTTATACACAAAGAAGCAATTCTTTCCAAATTTTCCTCAAAAAATCAAAAACAAATATTTCCAAATCAACAGATTAAACTCTACCCTGAGCAGCAGAATTTGGTACATAAGGTAGATGATGTACCATTTTAAAGGAGCAAATTCAAACTCTAAGAAATGGTAGCTTCACTTACAGCTTCATAAACTTTAGGGAGATCAAAGTCTGCATCGTCAGGCTCATCGCCTGTGGCTTCAGGGGCATCTCTATAATAAATGTACATAGTGGTAATATAGGAGACATAGTGGTAATATACAATACATTGTGGTAATATATAATACAATCTGGTAATCTGGGAAATATCACATAATGATAATCTGAAATATAGTTGTGAATTATTGATATTTAGGCAATTTGAGTTATCTTATCTAGTACAAAATGAGATTAATTTTGGCTATCATTATTCACTGATTGGATTGTCTTTACATTGGTAACTGCAAATACACCAGTAAATCTTAAAATGTATTTGTATACTTTGAATATTTTGGTAATCTTTTGAAATACACAAGCAAAATGAATCTATGAGTTATCCAAAGACCTTTGGGAACATACATACAGAAAATTAGCAATCTTTTATCTTGAAATATATCATTTCACAAAATACATTTTTATATTTCTGGAATTATGAGATTTGAGATTCCTCAGACTTTGAATCTGAATTACATATAATTATGATTTTTATGCTATATAAAACTAAATAAAATACCTATAAACATCAGTAATACTTTATACAATCGTAATTACTGTACATGCAAATGTGATGATTTCAATTTAGGATTAGGTGCAAGTGATCAAAAATGCAAACTTGTTAGAAGTGTATAATATAGAACAAGTAACAGAAAACATAGTATTAAATCACAATTCAATTACATTATGTAATAATACCTTAATATTATATTACTATTTCTTACATATGTAACTTCTGCAGTTTTGTAATTAATGAATGAAGAAACTTTTTTCATTTGAAGTTGTACTGAAATATGATTTTTAGAACAGTTAAGGTTAACATGACATATTTTGTTATAATCTCTGAGACTACAAAATTGAAACAACGATACACCCCAGACAACATATTCTACATTTCTAAATGTGTTCTCTTTCTTAACTACGGGACATTCCAACTCACCTATTTTACATACAGGCCCGTAGCCAGGGCGGGTTCGATGAGTTCGAGCGAACCCCCCTGACCAAAAATTCTTTCAAAATCATGCAGTTTTTCACCATTCTGAGCACAAGATTGTCAAAAGTGAACCCCCGGGTTTACCCCCCCCCCTTGGTAAATCCTGGCTACGGGCCTGACATATCAATTGATTTACTTAGTTCATCCTAACTAACAATTTCGAAATGTGATTTGAACTATGGACATGCCAATGCTGGCAAATGTATTTGTGATAATGCTCCATCTTAACACACGTTCAGACATTTTCAATTTCAGTGAAGTCACACGTTATCAACTTATATCAGCATTTGAAGGATCACCATCATGCAACTGTAATGTGACCATTTTTGGAACTATATGTGATTTGACCACGATCATCATTAAATATGTGAGGAATAAAATGTAATTTACTGCAAGCCGTCGATTATGTTAAACACATTCTTGGCAACCAAATACCAAGGAATGGGCCTGGCAGATTGCAGAAAAATAAAATATAAAATCATTTAATTGTTATTTTCTGCATTAATTTGAATATAATATATTATATTGCCAAAATTGAGGGAAAATAATATATCATGGTATGCTCATATTCACATTTTCTTAAGTAATTGTGCTGAATTTCTAAAAATGAGATTGGATTGCAAAGGCACTTCTAAATAGTATTTTTTATCGAAATAAATACATCAGAAAATTATCCAAAATTATAATATTGTATTTTAAAATTTGTGCCATTTCTATTTCTTCAAGCTTCTTCTGCAGTGCAGTGGAATAAAAAACCTAATTGCAAATATCTATTTTTCATTGTTCAGCAGTTTTAAAATTTTAAATATAATGGCTCAAAATAAAATAGGAAAATGGCTTCATACACTATCATGGAGAAAAGTAAATATAAAATAAAGAGAATATTAAATTTGCAGGATCAATTTCAAATTGATTTGGATTTTAAGAAAAAATCACTGCGGAAGAAATACATCATCTAATTAGATCATTTGAGAAATATTCATGCATGAATCAAGGACAAATCACCTCATAAAATCCTGGTAATATCTATGCCCCTCAACTCCTGGGACGTGTTCTTCCCCTACATCTTCTTCAATGATACGTTTTACTGTCTTTTCAAACCAAGTGACGTCATTAGGGTTCGTAAACCTGGTTAATTCGAACAACAGTTAAGCAAAACACAAGCTTAGGGTGGTTGGTGTTTATAGGGTGAATAGATGTTAGTTGTTAACCCTTCATATCTTAGGTCAAGATCATTCATAAGGTGATTTTGTTATCTGTTTTGCTTTAGATATAAAGAGTTAATATCTTCTTCAAACAACCTGACTGGAAGAACTCTCTTAAGTAATATCGATAAATTGCCGAATCAACAAAAATAGGTAAATACCCCCTCCCTCATTCTCCCTCAGTGCCACAAAATCAATTTGTTTAAAAGCCAGGAATGAAATGCTAAGATTCACAATTGAACAATTTTTAAGAACTAAATTTCTATAGTCAGGGTGTTCAAAAAAGAATGGACCAGAAAATGTATCAAATTCTGTGGTGAAATTATACAAGCAAAATGCAAACAAGACAAACATAATGTACAGACAAGTATAGATGATTAGGACATACAACATATTCAATTCATGTCATATAATATAGTTACATGAGATATGCAACAAAAAACTGAACCATTAAAATTATATTTTGATATAAAAATCAACAAGAATGTTCTTCTGTTTTTGTTGCACATAATTTATGATAGATGGTGCTATAGGTGTGTGATGCCATATAAGGAAGACCTGAAATGAAACGATTAGGTCAAAATAAAAATAATATTTTAAATTGTTAGTTAAACAAATAAAAGAATGTTACGATTGGTGGAAAGAATTCACACAAGCAGGTGGATTACGATGAGTATCATCTGGTCTGACAAATAGAGAAAATATTCAGATATGTAATGCACATATTCCCAACTTATCTAAGCCCAATATTAATATCCAACTCCATAATACCCGCTTTATGTTATGTTTAGTTATGAATGAAAAATGTACTATCTTTGAATGAATTTAATCAGTGATTATTTGAATAGCCTAAAATCTTTTGATTTAAATGGGTTCAAGTTTTTGTGGATAAAACGATGGTTTGGAGACTTAGTAGCCAGAACTTTGAAATGTTAATCATATGAAAAGTGTACATATCGGAAAATAAGACTTCTGATAAGATAGAATCATGTGCAGGTGTATGTTAGATAAAAGACAACGAGAGTCAACGAGGGCTGGTAGTGACATCTTGTGGACCGATCTGGTACGTTACCTCAAAAAGTCTACATAAAATCGACTATTTTCAACAGTTCGCAAACACTCCTCATCAAATTCCTCATCGACAACTCTCATAATGGTTTTTGAAAACCAATTGAAGTCATCTGGGTTTGTAAACCTGTTATAGTGCATATTACATAATTTTGTTAAAATGAGTGTCAAAACAACACAACAAAACAAAATTACACATGACATAGTGAGACAAATTCAATATTATGTTTTGTACAAAATATCATGTTGTATTAGCCTGAATTTCTTAAAGGAAAACAAAAAGTGAGATTTAGTCAAGAATTACACTAAAATTCTTGGTTATCAAAACATTATTATTAAAACATCTCCAAGAGGAGAAATTCAGGCATCATGATATTTTGTATTTTTGGACAAACATAGCACATCTGCATTTGTGTTACAGTGGTAATGGGGCCAGTACGTGGTGGGAAAGCAATTATTACGGGTTAAACATCCTTCGTTATTGACACATCTGGTAGCCTGGGATTGGCACAGTTGGACTGTCACCATGGTTACCTCATAAAATCCACAAAAAATAAATCATTCTCGGCAAGTCTGCCAAATGAATCGCCAAATTCTTCGTGTGTAACTCTTGCGATTGTTTTTTGAAACCACTCAAAGTCCTCGCTATTGGTGAACCTGTGTGCAATAAAATTTTTGGATTAAACAAGCAGACAATGCCACATGAGTACTCATAACACAGAACATACATATGTTGGTGCATGGTCCTGGGGCCTGTTTCTAAAAAATCAGCAATCAGCAATCACAATTCTAAACTTCTACTTCTATAGCCAAACTACAAAGGGATCCAGAGATAGCTTGATGAAATGCTAGGTTTTAGCTCATTTGAAGGTATAAATTGCAATATCGTATTTCGTATATCATGATTCCTCATAATTTCTAGAAACAGTCCCCTGATGATTGAAAACATATAGTGCTAAGCATTATACAGTAAAACTTGACAAGGTGAACAAACTTCAATTGTTTTGATTGACACTGAAGTTGTTCACTGAAAGAATTTACTGTACAGCTTAAAATGCAGTGAAAATCCATTGGTGTAAAAATGCATTGCTGTTTACTCAAACTGTCACACATATGCATGGCATGAATTTCCTGAAAATTTACAAACATCACAACTTCAACATGTTAGTCTTGCATCAAACCCTTATGTGCTCCTCTGTACATATACTCAGTGTTAACTAAAAAATCAGGGTCGGGAAGAGAGACTGGTCCAAGTCTACAAAAACATGTATTTCAGCAACACTGATGGAATCCCTGGAAGGCTAAAGAAACAAACATTGAGTGAGTGCATTGCAAATATACAATCAAAATTTTACAATTTCTTAAGAATCTCGCTAATGAAATTATAATTTTATTAACGAGATCTTATTAAGAGTTCATATCGCATAATAACCCTTATTATCGGATTCCAGCTGTTAGTAGTATTAATTTGAATAAATTAAAACTGAGTAGTACAGCTGAGTGGACATGTATATGCACCGATAACTAGGTCTATTGCTTAGATGCCAACTTAATATTCTGAAGCCATTGAAAACTCACCTTACTATGAGTAAACTGTAAACTTCAGTGAATTCTTTGACAAAGAAAACAACTACATCCACTGCTTGTGAGATGTCCAATTTATCCCTAAAACTTTGTGGGATGCAAAGTTAAAATAAAGTCCTTCTGTAGTATAGGATATAAACCTTTCACTGTTTGTGAGATTTAAACTTTAAAAACTTTCATTACAACTTTGAGAGTGTAAAAATCCAGATACATAATATTTGACTTGATGAAGATTGTTGAATGTTAATTCTATCCTTCATAACTCAGTTGTCTGTGGTTATGTTCTGAAATAACACAAAACTGTGTCTTAGTGACAATTAACGACTGGGTGGGCGAGGGGGGAATATATGAACTCTTAATAAGATCTCGTTAATAAAATTATAATTTCATTAGCGAGATTCTTAAGAAATTGTAAAATTTCTATTACACTCATCTTATTAAGAGTTCATATCGCATGTTTAAAGTAAAATAACCTCAGAACAACTGATCTAAATCCTTTAATTTCCTTTATCAGTTTATCAGATTGTAAAATTGTTAAGCATTCAGAGAATTTGCATTTCCCATGACTTGGTTTGTAGATATATCAAATGTTCAAGTTTATGGTACTGTTACTGCATACCTGGTTAAATATGTCTTTCAAATGTACTTAAATTTATTTATAAATATCTATCTATTATTATTATTCTATAAAATTAAAACCTTTATGTATTGTTATAGAAACTGCTAATGTGTATGTATATGCGATGTTTTACTGGATATGTACATGCATGGCATCGCATGACATTTGACAAGGATAATTTAAACTTCCTTCTTATGATTCCCTTCTACTACTAGTAGTTTGTTTCAGATGTTTCTGGTATTTTCTAAATGCTAGTACAACATCATTAAATGGATTCTCATGAAAACAACTTGGAAACCCAATTTTATGTGTTGACATTCTGTCTTTGACAACCATCCAATGGCATATTATTTCAGAGACCCTGGGATACATGCTTGAAATAGACATTAACATGACTAATTGTGTACTTTCAGTTGAGATTTCTATTCTGACCCGAATGTTCAATGTGAGATACAGTACAACCTTATTCACATCCCAAGTTTCATTGATTTTATTTAGTGGGTTTCCATTGTAAAAGTTTCTATAAAAACAACCAGAACATGGTATTGACTTACCTATGACTATCTATGGTTCCATTATATGCTGATTTTGCAGACTTAAAGTATCGAGAAACGAATAGCACATACCTGATTTGACATTTCAGTTAGGAAAATGGCTAAATTTGTATTAGAGGCTAAATATTAATGTCATGTTTATTAGAACATGCAGCATACCCATGTTTTTTAGGGGTCCTTGGAAGTAATTTAAGTACTTTCTTTACTTGATTTAATGAATATACATGTATTGCCAGTTTGTCACAGAAACCTCTAGTTTCAAACTTGAGGATGATAATTTGGACACCGTTAATGTTATCTAGCTTTTTAAGGCTGTAAGATTAGATATTAGTAATTTCATATGGTTTGGCAATAAGATGGGCTAATACAGACCAACATTTCCAACAATTATAGATACCGCAGAGCCATTTGCCACATTGGGGCTATGAGAGCTATATCTGTGCATTTTTCTGTCTCACTTTAACCAGTAATCGGCTGATTTAAGAAATTGGAGGAAAGTTATTTGACTGTTTATTCTGAATAAATATGTCAACTTCCAGAGTTTCTGGGTTTAGTTTCCACCTGAAATATTAATTTTCTACTGGTCGAAAAAATCTATTTATCTGGACCTTAAAACTTTCAATTAGGAAAAATCTCCCAATCTTATTTCTAGTTTGATGCATCGAGGAATTTCTCTAGGTTTGATCTGACATTCAATTCTGATTCCTTGGAAGATATTATACGGTAATAATGATATCTCTGGCAAAGGTATCTGAACGATCTTACATTGCTTTTAACATTTCTAGCCATCTCGTTCCCCACATTTTATGCACATAATGTCATCTTGGTTTTCTTGTTAATTTTATATAACATTGTCTAAGTTTTTGTGAATACTTTCACTACCATATCCATGGCTTTCATTCATATGAAACAATTTTTTGTTTAATCTATTTCCCCTAAGCTACTGTCCCGTCAGACTTGAACTTTAGCCAAACAGGCTGCTTTTTTTTTATTGTAATTATTGATTCGGATAACACTATTAGTATTCTGAATTTCGACTTCTTGGACCAATCACTATCAAATTTTATATTCATTTTTTGTGAGTTATTTTGGCAATCAATGCATACATGTAGGACTGCTTTGACCTTTGCAAGTGTCAAAAAATGTAGAGGTTCAATATACAGATTACAGACTAAAGTACAATTCAAAAGTATCTCAATAACTTGAGTAAGATTACTGACTAGGGTTGATTCTATCCCTACAAAGTCTTTGCGAGAATTTTGATAGAAACTATCATTTCTATTAAGGCCTTCAAGTTCATCTCAATTGTATTGATCACAAAACTACAAAGCTCCATTTTATGATGGGAAAAATTCAACAATAGGCTTTTCCCCATTTATCAGAAACTTCAGTTTGAAACAAATATTTCACTAACTTGAAATCATGTTCATGAGTAGCAGATAGGCGAGAGGTTAATGACATCAGAGAATCAATAAAAGATTCAAAAACCAAATTAAATATTCCACAATAGTGCTTATGGTATTTTCACGAGTTTGAGGGAAGCAAGGTCCATAGTAATGATCTCAAATGATGTTATATCATTCAACGGAGCTATTTCCTGTGCCTCGAATGTATGCTTATGGTCATATAAGCATCCTTAGCATGGACTTTCACCATCGGTAATCGTTTGGCCATCTCATGTTTCTTAGAGTTACCATGTCTTCCATTTTGAAATATTCATACCAACTAAATGGTTAAGGTTTAGATTTTTTAGAGTTTAGATTGAGAACGAGTCTCTGGGAACAATCCTCTTTCTCCTGTAACAATATGTGACACAGAAATTGATCTATGCTTTTCTGTTGCATGTTTAAGAGTACAATGAATCTCCTGTTTTTAAAGGATGGACAAAACATCCGATTGCTTAAAATCGCAGTTTTGAGAAATATTAAAGCTGCTTTCCATTTAGAAATCTTAAGCTATATTGTTATCATTTCTCAGAATCTCTGGTAACCTTGACCATACTTCATATTTATATGTAGGTGACTTTGAAACTTCAAAAAGTATATGTAATTTACCTAAGTTTCTGTTTTAGTGAACTTCCAGATTTTTTTCTTGATCTGATGTTATGTCAAAACATTCATCTTTTTTAGATCCATTTTGGTTTAATTTTAAAAATAAAATTGACGTACCTGTCATTGGACAAGGATTTTCCTACAGCGTAAGTTTTGCTGGAGCGACATCGTCTATAATGACATTGTTTGTCATGACTTCTAGTTGTATAGCTATTGGCAGCTGACAGTTTCTGCTTTCACTGGCCTATTCAAAAGGCTGTCAAATACTTGTATTTATAATCTATTGAAAGATTTTGCCCAGCTTGGGGTATTCTCTTTTTGGTTTTGGTAATGGTATGAAGACAGAAAAATCTCCAATTCACTCTTGTCAAATTGAAATTTGAAGCATGAAGCTTGTTTCAACTACAATAATTGGTTATGGGAAATCCTTGTTCAGCACCCGTTCAGCAACAATAGCTGTTTTAATCAAAATATTGTACGAGTATTGTCATTTGATCTAGGGCTGTTAACCCGATTTCCATGGATAAAGAGCTTTATTTCAGAAAGTCCATGTGACACACATTACCAGTATTGCATATGCCATTTTCCCATTTTGCAAGTGTACATTTCTACCTGCTTTGGGACTAGGAACATTTTAAGTTCATTTACTTTCTAGATAGCTTACTCTAGCCTTTTCTTCATATTTTGATATCTACTAGGATAATGTTTTTGACCAATATTTATGGACAGATTTTACATGCTTGTCTGTTATCTTCAATTCAGACTTGTTCTCCTCGAAAACTGAGTCAAACATATTGAACATATAGACCGCTGAACATGAATCTATAAGCACTAGATTACTAGAACTTGAATCAAAACAAAAATGATTCTATTGATTTGAACCTACTATGAGGCTATGCAATTGGATATGCTCGCTGAAACTGTAATATGACCTCTAATATGACTATTATTCTGATGGCGGCTCATTTTGAACCTTGGTCAAACTTTGGTTTATAGGCCTTGAACTTTGGTCATTTGGACCTTTGGTGTGTGCATTCAGACATAAACTGTGGTCATTTAGACCTAAATGTGGTCATTTAGAAATAACATGTGGTCATTCAGACCTAAACTGTGGTCATTTAGACCTAAACTGTGGTCATTTAGACCTAAAATGTGGTCATTTAGACCTAACATGTGGTCATTTAGACCTGGACTGTGGTCGTTATAGACCATGGTCATTTAGACCTTCAGTATTCAAAATTCCATCTTGAAAAAACATAATATTTCCCTACCTGTCCAAGTACATTATTTCAGGAGCACTAGTGGCCGTACTAATGGTTCATAAGTCCAAACAATTGTAGTTAGACTAGTAAATAAAAGTTCCAAAAACTGCAAACAAATGACTGTTGAAAAAATTCAACAAGTCAAGCAGATCATCTGAACTAAAATCCATGTGCTATTTACAGCTATGTACAACTAGCCTAGTCTCTTAGAAAGGTGTGTTTCCGTTGGCAGCTAAGCAAAAATAGACCTAGTTATCGGTGCATATACATGTCCACTCAGCTGTACTACTCAGTTTTAATTTATTCAAATTAATACTACTAACAGCTGGAATCCGATAATAAGGGTTATTATGCGATATGAACTCTTAATAAGATGAGTGTAATAGAAATCAGGTGTAGAACTCCACAGATCGTTGATGTTGTGCCACTCCACAATTCACATAAACTCCCCACTCCACAGTTTTCAAAAGGGCACAGCAGACTGTGTGCTCCCAGCAGACCCTGGGTACTGTACCTCATAAAATCTACCCAGAATGCAGTGTTATCAAGGGTGGCAGTTAATTCCTCCCCAAACTCTTCTAAGCCTACACGGCCTAAGGTTTTAACAAACCAATTAAAGTCATCTAGCCCTGTGAATCTAAACATGAGACACATCTTTGTTAATACGAGACCAGATATAAGGAACATATAAATACAATATAAATGTATGTAAAGTTCTGTAATGTACATGTATAAATCTTCATTTGAATTGAAAAACAGCAAAAGGATATATCAATTACAAAAGAATTTTAGGAATTGGATATATCGCTCCAATGAATTTAGAAATATTCTGTCTAGATTCATTTCATTTTGATCAATAGTTTTCAATGAATTGCAAAAAGTATTTAAATAAATTGTTATCCCTATACAACCTTTAATCTTTATTATTTAGATAATTATTTAAATTAGACAGTTCATAATTGTGAAAAAACGTACCGATCAGCAATGACACGACAGCACTCATGTTTCCATAGTGCAAGGACATCTGTGTTCTTGCGGACTACTTCCTCTATCGTATTGATCATTCCCTGCCAGATACGTGACAAATCACGCAAGTTGAACACATAGTGGAACTTGGCGGGGGTTGGCAACATTTTGATCTGAAGTCAGAGATTTTAGTAATTAAAAAAATCAAGAATAATTCAAAGTTAATAGAGAAAATAAGTAAAATTTTGATAAACATTTACAACCAAAAACCTTGTAAAATAATGGAGATGGATATATGATCAATAAATAGGGATACGATAGACCTTTCCAATAAACCTTATTTCAGGCACAAAACAGGAAGAATGACAACATAAGTAAAGGTGGCATGATTACCAGATTGTTCAATTGTATTATTGTATTCAGGCTATGCTAATTATGAGAATCATTCATTATTTCTTTATTACCTTAGTCAACTGCCACAGTCTTCTGGTGACTGGGACCATCTTGGCCACCATGTCTCGCACCTCCTCCGAGAAACCACGCTCCTCACAATAATGACCACAGCCAATAACACGGAATACTTTATCGATGGATGAGTTAGAGGGTAGCGTACAATTGAATATTGTGAATTGACGCTTTAGACGCTGAGGAATATCATTTCTACCACCTCCAGGTTGGATCATGGCCGCAAGGAACTAGAATGAAAATGAGTGTTCAAATAATATATACATGAATTAATACTTAGTATCAGTTTTCACCATGAGTTGAACATTTGAAAACTCAAGTTATAAAATGAATTTCATAATCAGAATAGATAAAATTTAAATTTTGGGCCTAGAGATAACACTGGTGGTCAGAAAATAGAAAAATCAAAATATTTGTGCATTGTTTTATAATCTAAAATTAAAGCCATTTTCTCATATAGATATTCCAGCTGTATACACTCTGTATATCCATCATATATATTTTGCTGCAGAAAGGAGTTCCATTGAGGAAGACACCCTGTACACTCTAAACAATTAAACCATTTCAAGCATCCCTCGGCTAATTACCTGAACATCCACTATACTGGTGAAGTCACCAGGTTTCTCAAGGTTGTAGAATCCCTTCATCTCCATCAATTGTCTGACAATCTCATTGGCAATCTGGTCGCCCCATTCGTTGATGATTGGCATGTTAATGTCATCAACAAAGACAGTCATCTTCTTACCTGCTGGAGGACCATATGTGCTCCCCATTCGTTTGTCTACATAGCTCTCTATAGTTCGCTGTAAAATACAGTATTTAGACGTCAATTGAATCAAATATGCATGAAAGTAACTACGAAGATATGGCAACCTTTAGTTTTTTCCCTCTAATATCTAATAAGTGGAAAGGTTAAGTGACATATATAATATGCAATGTATTCATGCTCAAAAATGAATCAGCAGTTTGTCAAACGCTACCTATATTTGTATTAATCCTTTTATTTAACACCCATTACCTGGAACATGTTAGGAGTTGTAGCACTTGAGAAGTTCAAACTCTTAGACATATGCGTTTCAGGGTTGTATTTGCCCATGTAGCCATTGATCATCACAGTCTTTGCGGTTCCCTGCTCTCCAATCAGAAGAACAGCCTTATCCTGTTTGGAGATTGTGTGAATGAGGAAATCTGTGCGCACATTGTCGACATTTGGTACGAGGATTGAACCGTATTCCGGAGTGGAGTCTCCTGGGTAGATGTATTCTTCAACCTTGTTGTCCCAATGGCTCCAAGAACCTGGGGAGTGAATACAATAATTAGATTTTCTTTATGATGTAACCAAAGGTTCTAACCAAGGGGAGTAAATACAATGATTGGATTTTTTATGATGTATTTTGGGCCCTGGGGGAATCTTGGAGTTGGTCTAAATATGGTTATTGGGAAAAAATACATAACAATAGGGGAATGATAGTTGTAAGTAGACAAAGCATGTTTGGACTGCAAAAGTTTGATTTATTAATAAATTAATAAATTATTTCATGATATGTCTTCATAAACAGGAAAATATCAATCAGGCTGGTGACTACGAGAGATCACATGATGATGTTTGAAAATGAAAATTCTGTTCAACACCACTCACCATCCGTATCAACGAAGAAGTCAAACATAGTGGAATCTGCGACTGTTGACGTATTAGGAAGGTCCAGTTTAGGAATCTCTGAATCTGTGCGCAAAAAGTCTTCTAGCTTGGCACGATCGTCTAACTCAAGGAATGCACCGATACTCCACATGACGACAAAAATGTAAAGATGCTCAAAGTGTTCCTTCTTCATTGGTCCCGCTTCTTTGTCATCCTTGTTTGGGATTAGGCCTTGGAGCAAGTCACAACACTGAAATGGTGAAATAGAATTATATTTCAGTGATACTGAGTCCACAAATGGGAATCTTCAGGAATCAATACAAGGGTTTAATATATGTACATGAAACTTTTCATTTGCGAAATTTGGACAATTTCTACCTTTTGCATTTGTTTGACTTCGCTTCTTAAAAGAGAGATTCGTCTTCAGTAATTTACATCACATTCTGATTTTATGATTAGGATGTCTGATGTATTAACTTGCCTGTTTTACAACAAACACTTCCAAGACGTCCATCTTCCAAACAAAGTTCTGTGAGGCATGTCTGTAAATGATAGGGAATGATGCCTCAAAGAGACTGTATAGTATAGCCTCCTCCTGGGGACTCCTGTTGTTCAACCAGCCCTGAGTAATAACAATGAAAAATGAATTAGAACAATGAATTATGGAATTTGATGATAAATATGGAATTATAACAATAGTATTTTTTTTTTTTTTTTTTTTTTAAATCATTTTATTTAGCCTAGGGTTTACAGTTTACACTATTACATCCCCTAGGGGTCTACATATAAAATTTTGAGATCTCATGCAATAGGTTAGAAAGTTTTGTATGGTTATAAGAATCTCTGAGTGTCTCTGATGAATGTCTGGACATGATTAAATAGAGTGCAGTTGTCAATGAATGAAGAATCTTTGTTTCCATGGATAATATGATTGAGAAGATTAAGTCTATTGGTTACGGCTATGTTCCCTAATTCCCTGAAAAGAGTTGTTCTTTGGGCAACATAGAGGGGACAGTCAAGAAAATAATGAAGTGGTGTCTCTTGTGCGAAACCACAAGCACAATGTTTGAAGTCTATGAGGTTGTAAGAGAAACGTTGATGGTTTAAAGCACTGAGACCCATTCGGATTCTCCCATGATTAATTGCAGATTTGCTGGCTTTTAATGAGTAAAGTTTATTTTTGCTTTTGCAAATAGAATGTTTAAGTTTATATTTAAATAGAGGGAGATAACCAATGTTCCTAAACTGTTGTTCAAGGTTGTTCCATATTCTAATGGCATTTGGAAGAAACGACTTGTAATTAATGTTAAGTCTGCAGAAGGGTATATTGAAAGAATTTTGGTTTCTTAAGCTATATCTGGTCTGCTTTTGGGAGAGAGGCGTTAAGAGGTCAGTCAAATAAAGCGGGGCATTTTGATAAACCATTTTATGGAAAATGGTGGTAATATGTAATTGTCTTCTGGTTTTGAGTGAGTCCCAGCCAAGTTCATTCAAAATGTCATTATATTTAGTATGTCTATAGGCATGTGAACATAATATAGCAGCTTCTCTTTGGATGTTTTCTAATGATTTACTTTGGAATAAATGACAATTATTATAAAGGACATCACCATATTCAAGTACTGATCGAACCATTGAAAAGTATAATGTTTCTAGTTCATTTTGATTTAAATTGTATTTAAATGAGCTCCTTTTAAGGAGGCCAAGTCTCATATTTGCTTTCTTAACAATATTGTTAATATGAAGGTGCCAGCTCATATTTGATTGAATTGTAAGTCCTAGATGGGTATGGTGATCAACTGTTTGAATTACAGAGTTGTTTAACTTTATATCAGGATAATTAAATTTATTTTGTTTAAGTGAGATTATCAGAAGTTTTGACTTGGCAGCATTAAAAGTAACTTTCCATCTTTCTGCCCATTGTTCTATTTGGTCTATATCATGTTGCATTTTAACTGAGCTAAGTATAGGGTCGTTTACCACTTCAAGTAGGGAGGTATCATCAGCGAAAAGGTTTATGTCGGTATCTTTATTTTCAACAATGTCATTGATGTAAAACAGAAATAGTAAAGGTCCGAGTATTGAGCCTTGAGGGACACCTGCTTCAATGTAGCGCCAGTCAGAATGAACACCGTTTATGACAACTCTCTGTTTGCGGTCAGAAAGATAGCTTTTCAACCATTTTAGAAGTTGACCAGAAATTCCATATGATTCTAACTTGTAAATTAAACCAGTATGCCAAACCTTATCAAATGCCTTGGAAATATCTAAAAAGATTATCATAATTTCATTTCGATCATCCAAGCCTTTGTAAATTTTGTTAACTAAGTTTATCAGTTGATTTATTGCTGAGTCGTTTGGTTTAAAACCAGAATTTCTGGGAGTTAAGATATTGTTTATTTTACAAAAGTTATATAATGCATTGAATACTAAACGTTCAAAGACTTTGGATATACAGGACAAAAGAGAGATTGGTCTATAGTTTAATTTAGATTGTTTATCTTCTTTTTTGAAAATAGGTGAGACATGTGCCTCTTTCCATGCTGATGGAAATATACCAGTTTGTAAAGAGTTATTGAAGATACCACAAAGGCTAGGTGATAAACCAAGGGCACATTCTTTAAAAATCCGATTGGAAACATTATCTGGTCCACTTGCCTTTGATACGTTAAGATGGATCAATATATCATAAACTTGAAAATCTTCAAATTGTATAAAACTAAGGTGTGAATCAGTTTTGTATATCATGTTAGGAAGTACAGGGTCATTTAGGTTTGAAGGAAGAATTGTTTGATCTGCAAAAAAATTATTTAATATGTTGGCCTTTTCTTTTGAATCAGTAATAGTTTCATTATTTTCAATTAGAGAGGGGATGCCTTGTGAAACTTTTGGACCATACATCATTTTCAAAATTTTAAAGTACATTTTGGAAGTAGTAGTTCTATCTGCCAGTTTTAGTTTCAAGTTTTCTATGCTATTTTTTTTGCTCTGAGAAATTAAGAAATTAACTTCAGTTCGCTTTCTCTTGAAATTGTAAAAGTCTGCAATATTTTTTGATTTTTTCCATTTGGAATGAAGTTTGTTCCTTTTGTTAATTTGTTGTTTAATTTGTTTGGTTATCCAAGGTTTATCTTTACTAGAAATAGTTATTATTTTCTTATTTATGAAGCTATCAATGACTGTCCAAAATAATTCATACCAGTTAGATACAACTATGTTTGTATGTTCAGTTTCAAAGTAAATTATTTCCCATGGTGCACTTAATAGATGATCATTGAGGTTAATAAAATCTGTGTTATTATAATCAAAAATGGTACGTTGATATTTTACTGTGGCATTATGCTTAAGATTAAGTTCCCCATAAATGTAACTGTGATCTAGGTTTGCTAGTGGAGGCTCAACCCCTTCTTGTGAGACAAAGGCAGGAGAGTCAGTAATCAGTAAGTCAAGAATAGCATCACATCGTGTAGGTTTTGTTATCAACTGAAATAAGTTAAAGCCATGAATAAGATTAACAAGCTTGTTTCCCACATCGCTATAATTGTGTGTCGAGTCCCATATAGTACATGTATCATTAAAATCGCCTAACAGTATCAAACAATCTGGTTGTAAATTGAGCACACGTGTAAGAGAAATGGTCAAATTATCAATAAAGTTGTCAACATGTTGAACATTCATACCAGGTGGCCTATAACAAGTTCCTATGATCACAGTTTTTGGTCCAATTTTGAGTTTAAGCCAAATTAATTCTAGGTCATTGTGTTCACAATTAAACAGCCTGGTAGTTGGAATTGATTCTTTAACATAAAAGGCTACACCGCCACCTGGCTTATTTTTTCTATCTTTACGAATAAGTCTTTGATAATTTTGAATGTAAATATCATCATCATCTGGTTTAATGTTATCATTGAGCCATGTTTCACTGAGAGCAATGACATCAAACTGCTTGCTGACACACAGAGTAGAAGTGATTTCATCAATTTTCTGGTGGTGGCTTTTTAGGGATCTGGTGTTAATATGACAGAAAGAAAAATTGGTTGGGAAAATCTTCATGGGTCCTGGGTTTGGGTGTACACCACCTATAATTAACAAGATGTGCAAAACTATATTAAGATATGCAATTGCTATGAATTTACAAGGCCTTGGCTGATTTGGAATTCTAAAATATTTGTTTTTAAAAGTAAATATTGATGTTCTTGTAATAAGGTGCCATGTCCCAATTGTTGCCCTATATTGAGTAATGTCAATGCTCATGGTGGCTCAAAATAGTTGGGAATGGGAACACAGACAGGAGAATCTATCCAAAGACATGTTGGATCCTGGGGATTGAATGAATAAAGTGATTGCAAAGAACAGACATGCACCAGAGACACTCTATACCTTTCTAACTCAAATTTTATGATTGTCAGAATGAGACATGTTGTGAATAATAATATAATATACAAGTATGACATGTATGTACATGTGTTAATCATTTATGCAATATGGTTTATATACATGGAATGCTGTTACAGAAATATAAGTGGTTGAGTCTCATTGATTAAGTAAGGGTGAAACTGTATAATATGTATTGTACACGCAGATAAGTAAGTGCCTTTCCCATTTCAAGTCAATAGTATTTGGAAAAGGGGATCCATGAATCATGGAATTATAACATTGATATTTTGTAAATGAACAACCTGAGCAATGGAATTTTACATTGGTATTCATGCAATGAAATTAGACCAATGAACTAAGGAATTTAATATTGGTATTTGGACAATGAAATCAGACCAATGAAAATTGAAATTATAACATTTGGGCTATGTAACATTATATTATTCATTCAACAATTAAATAATTCAAACATCCATACCTTCAAAAGTGGGTTCCAGTCCAGACCAGAGCTACTCATGAACACCATACCATTCCTAGATACAGTAGCAGGGGAGGCATTGTCAATGTTATGAGGTTCAAATATGATCTTGCAGTTGGGTGCCATAGGGATCCTATCCCCATTAGCAAGTGTGAGAGTTTTGTTGTCATCAAGCACAGAGTTCAGGTTCTCAATCCAGATAGCATCAACTGGTCCATCTAGTACAATCCAAATGTGATCGGCTGGAAAGGAAAAATGTTGTTTTATTCTTCTGCATGTGTTCTGCTTGTTTCAGTTTATATTTAAATCATCAAAAGACAGAAATTAGGCTGATGGATTCATATCAACCAAAGATTTCAACTCAAAAATTCCAATTTATTTTGTCAACATTTATGATACTTCCTTATTTCAATTTGGTCATACAGAAAAATATTTTGCTGCATCTGTTAATATTTAACAAAATATACAATAAACGCAAGCTTACTTTTCTTGATTCTCAGTGAACGACGCCACAATGTGGAGAAAATGCCATCTGTCCAGTCATTGGTCGCAACATCCAGCCTTCCGAACATCTGTGGTGCCGTGATAGCCTTGGGGTTCATTCGCATTTCACGATGAGGTTCTCCGCAATCTGTCATAGCTTTCATTAGAGTGTGAATGCAAGCAGTTTTTCCTGCGCCTGAGGGTCCAAGGGCCATCATTCCGTGACGTACCCGCTGGGTCTCAAACAATTGGATGATCTTCAACGTCCATGAAGGATGATTCACTAGTTTTGCATCTTCAACCTACGTACATATTCAATTCAATTCAATACAATTTTCGTCACAAATACCATGAACATTTATTTAGCAAAATATGAACATGTATTTACATTTAATTCCAAAGTAATAATATATCAAATATATTCAACAAATATAAGCACTTCAAGGCATTTCAAACCAATTCAAGCACTTACATTGCGGTTAATAGCGCCTTCTAGCTCAGGATATCCAGCCTTATCAAGCGTAATACCAGGGAACAAATCATTGATCAGTGACAAGAACAACGGCTCATCCTGATCCACCAACTTGGAGAGGTTCATGTCACGCAGAACTCTCATCACTGTCGTAGATTCACTGTCTGTTGGACTGGCTCTCTTGGCAGCTCCAAGGGTACGAAGTACAGAAAGGATGTTCCTCAGGCCAAAATCATAATGTACCTGGGGGAAGAAAAACAGTGATTAGATTTTCTTTATGATGTAACTGGGGGAGGAAATATGCTTATTAGATTCTCTGCATAAATAATGCAAGTGGCAAAAAAATAAAATAAAAATACATTTATATTCACAAGGATCATGAACAGTCTAAAAATCATTCAAAATATTTTTTAGACTTGGTTCTAGCAGCTCAGGTCTAACAAAGAATTCACAATCAGTAAATCCCAATATAAGTTATGAAATGATAAAAAGATCATTTGACCAGGTCACAATTACCTGTTTTGTCAGCTGTTCCTCACAAAGCTTATAGAGCGTATAGAACTTGCGGGCCAAGACGGTGTTGTCTTGGAAACCACAACTAGCGAGTTTGACACGGATGATGATCTGTCTGTCGGGGACCATCATAGCCACTGTACGGAAGTTGATCTTCAAGTTTTCTGGGAGTTCCTGTCGTCCAGCATAGCCAGGGTTCTAGAATAATCCCAAAAATTTATACTTGTATTTGAGATGCAAAAAATGGTAATTAAGAAGTTTAGGAAGCTTAAGACATAATCATTCAAGATTGATAAGGTTACAAAAGATTAAACATGTCATTTTCCAATCTGATATTATTTCAATCTGATTAACTGCTACATTTAATATACTTTCCTCGTGATATATGATAAACATAACAATCTATTTCAAGACAGAGGGTGTTGTGAAAGAACTGTAAACTATGTAATGGCTTACCATTGTCAAGAATATACCAAACTCTGGGTTCATGGAGACATTGTCTCCATCAGTGAATATAAACACCTTCTTGCGTTCCTTCTTAGCTGTTAACACAATGGAGATTTGCTGAGCAGCTACGGACAACACAGGCAAGTCAATACGATTGAATTCATCAAAACAGCCCCAAGAACCAGACTGAGCTAGACCTACAACATGAATTACAGGCATGAAAATACATGCATGGTTCAACAGTTTGTCAAAGCATCTCCAATACAGAATGGGTAGGTCTTTGAATATAAATAACAGCCAAGTTAATACATGCAAGTCAACTATACACAAATCAATACCAGTAAATAGCAATTGCCAAAAGTAACCCCACAATGATTCCGATTGAACACGACTAGGTATATAATATATTAACTGTATCTTAACCTCTTGAATCCCAGGCTCTAAAATTGATTGAAACCAGAGAATTTTTCATTTTTGCCACCTTTTGACATTTTACTACATACCTGTACAATTTTAGATGCTCAACTTAGTAAAATTAGATGGCAGAGATCATTTCTACACGTTTTAAAACAATATTTTTGTAAATTGGATGAAAATTGTTCAAATAAGAGCAATTTTTGTTAACAATTTTGTGACGGATTTTCTCGTCCCTCTGGGTTTCAAGGTCATTTCTGAGGTGACGAGAAATCTCGTCATTCTGGGTAGTCAAGAGGTTAACAATCATATGGGACTTTCTACAAGAATTCACCTTTATAGATCCTGCCAAGTCCTCTGAAGTCCATCTGATCTGAGCAGTTGAACACAACAACATATTTTCCAAGACATCTCCCCATGTCCTTGGTGGTTTCTGTCTTGCCTGTCCCTGCAGGTCCTGCTGGGGCGCCTCCCATGGACATCCCTAAGGCCTGGGACAGTGTGATGTAGCATCTGAAATATAAATTACAATGAATACTCGTATAATTTTTAGTGTGTTTGTGAGAAAAAGTTATGTTGAAAAATTGTAAAAACCAAGACAGTCTTCACTGGAGGGACACACAAACCATATATTTCATTTCATTTCATTTGAGTTACTATCATCTCACACAGACACCATATCCAAAAACGTAATGTCTATATGCTTAATACTATAAAGGACACCATGTAAAAGCTGATATACATGTAATACGACGCATATGTCAGAGTGACTGATATGATTAAGGGTCTTATGGTTAATACTGTAAAGGACACATGTAAAAGCTGATATACATGTAGCCCGACGCATATGTCAGAGTGACTGATATGATTAAGGGTCTTATGGTTAATACTGTAAAGGATACATGTGAAAGCTGATATACATGTAGTCTGACGCATATGTCAGAGTGACTGATATGATTAAGGGTCTTATGGTTAATACTGTAAAGGATACATGTGAAAGCTGATATACATGTAGTCTGACGCATATGTCAGAGTGACTGATATGATTAAGGGTCTTATGGTTAATACTGTAAAGGATACATGTGAAAGCTGATATACATGTAGTCTGACGCATATGTCAGAGTGACTGATATGATTAAGGGTCTTATGGTTAATACTGTAAAGGATACATGTGAAAGCTGATATACATGTAGCCCGACGCATATGTCAGAGTGATTGATATGATTAAGGGTCTTATGGTTAATACTGTAAAGGATACATGTGAAAGCTGATATACATGTAGCCCGACGCATATGTCAGAGTGATTGATATGATTAAGGGTCTTATGGTTAATACTGTAAAGGATACATGTGAAAGCTGATATACATGTAGTCTGACGCATATGTCAGAGTGACTGATATGATTAAGGGTCTTATGGTTAATACTGTAAAGGATACATGTGAAAGCTGATATACATGTAGCCCGACGCATATGTCAGAGTGATTGATATGATTAAGGGTCTTATGGTTAATACTGTAAAGGATACATGTAAAAGCTGATATACATGTAGCCCGACGCATATGTCAGAGTGATTGATATGATTAAGGGTCTTATGGTTAATACTGTAAAGGATACATGTAAAAGCAGATATACATGTAGCCCGACGCATATGTCAGAGTGATTGATATGATTAAGGGTCTTATGGTTAATACTGTAAAGGATACATGTGAAAGCTGATATACATGTAGCCCGACGCATATGTCAGAGTGATTGATATGATTAAGGGTCTTATGGTTAATACTGTAAAGGATACATGTAAAAGCTGATATACATGTAGCCCGACGCATATGTCAGAGTGACTGATATGATTAAGGGTCTTATGGTTAATACTGTAAAGGATACATGTGAAAGCTGATATACATGTAGTCTAATGCATATGTCAGAGTGACTGATATAATTAAGGGTCTTTAAGAGCATTATATACCTGTCAGTCAATGGTGTGATGACAAGCCTCTCTGTGCATCCCAGGAACTCATTCTGGTAATCAAAGTCCACATCAGTGATGGAGATGAGGCATTTATCAGTGTCCTCCACAAAGTAGAACCTAGATTGCTTCTGCCACTCAAAGTCTGCAGGGGACTTAATGTGCATCTTACACTGAAAATATACACATGTAATGCGTGTACAAGCATTGTTAAGAAAATGTATTACCATGGCAATAATCATGAAATGTTACCATAGTGATGGATATTGGCTGCTCTTGGAGCCTAGGCCTTTCCTACCAACATTAACAACACATACAAGATTTATTTATTCCATCGAAAATTCGACAGTCCAGCTTATTGACCTTTTGCGATCAGAATTCAGGTATTTTGTTTATGGATACTGTTGTCATGTATTTCGTCTTATTGGTGTGACATCATATAGAAATGATATTAGACATGATGGAGAGATGAAATGGCGGACACGTGGCAGTTTTGAGCTAAAAATGTTATTGCTTCTTTTATGAAAACCATGGGTTGGATCGGATATTTACCAGGTATGCCGATTTGACTAGATCATGAGTATTTCTTTATATGTGTGAAGTTTCGGTGAAATTCATACTAAACATTGATGTCTATAAGCGCCCCCGTTTTTTTTCAAAATTGGAGGGCGCTTAACCGCTATCTAAATCATGTCAGTAAGATCTTAGACTTGGCATCTGCTTAGAATGAATGTTGATCTAGTCAAATCGAACACTTTCGTGAACAATAAATCAACAAAGTACGAAATACAGAAGATAATCTCTCAAAATCAAAAAGCTATAGCAGTGTGGCCTAATTGTGACGTCACTACAAGATAGAATTCATCCAGTAATCGCAAATCATCAATTATAGAGGAATTAATAAGTAAAATCACTCCAAGTACAACACTCACCAAGTCATCAAAGATATCTCTCTGGTGGACATGTATGGTAATGAGTGTCTCAAACTTTGTACGTTCCACCTTAGTCAATTCCCTTGTTGTCTGATCGATCAGCGTGTTCAATAATTCAAGGAATGCCATATTTGTACCTTGCATCACCTTGCGATCATACTTAGCATTGGTCAGGGCATCTGTGGAGTCTCTTGTCCAGATCATCTGTAGTCCCAATAGACCAACCTAGAGTCGAACAAAACATTGAAATTAAAAGAATTCTCAACAAATATTTCCTTCGATTGTTTCAATTTTTGTTTGATTTTTTATTATTTTATTTTGTAACTCCTTATGGATCCTGTGAAAAAAAAATTTAATGTCTTCTATAAGAAAAGATCCTTGCATAATGCAATGTGAATTACATTACTTTTTGAACATACAGTATATGTGTGAAATATCATCCCAAAACAAAAATACATATTAACCTTTCTGAAATAAACTAAACTGATAAATCTGCCACAAACCTGTGCAGGAAACATGTTAAGGAACTCCAGCAAGTTAAAGCTTGAGTCCTGTATTGCCATAGCGGCAGTGCGAATAACTCCATGTAGTGACCTTTGGGCCATACTCATCAATGACATCAACCACACTTCGACATTGCCCTCTGCTACCACTGGTTTTTCTAAATCAATTGTTTCACCTTCTGATGAGAAAATCGACAAGATTGACTCATATTTTTTCTCGTGGAATTTCACAGACTTCGTATTGTCAAATATGGAGAGTAAATGTGCCTGAATGGTGTGGCAATCGCTGGCTTGTCCAAGGATTTCCAGAAGGGCAGGGTCGGACACAAAGAAAAATCTGGGGAACAACAGTCGTTTCTGTTCAAGGTACCTGAAAAAGAGAGAAGTGGAATTCAAAGAGTGAAATTGGCAAAAAAGAAGAGTAAATCAAAATATATTCCATGGCATTAACAAGCCTTTAATAGAATGACATACACCATACTTTGATTGTCAATAGACTTCTTAAAAGACCAACACGTTAAGCGATTTGCATGTAACTACAATTGTCATTAAGATAAAATTTTAATTTCTGTTTTACAAGAAATTTCACATACCCAGTGAGGGACTTCTGACAGAGTTCCAGTTGCTCCAATAGATGGGGTAAGAGTTGACTTAGGGTGTCATCACCAACACAACACTGGATCACATTTGTATTCTCATGGGCACGCGTCATGATTTTGATCCAAGACTTGTCGATATTGGAGAACCTCTTAGCTTCCTGTAATCAACAACAGACATGAATAAATGCATTCAAAACTTGATATTTATTATAAACCTACTTTGCTTTTCTTCTTTGCTTTGTCTGTGGGATTACATATCCAAGCCTAATACTTTGTCAAATATATACCACAGAACACACAAAGAATGCTCAGGTGATATCTTTCAATTTTCTTAGTAAAACTCCCAAAACAAGTGAAACATTTAGATAGCTAAAATATCCCCAGACTAAATCAAAATGAAATGTTTATTTCTATATTTAGCTCTGTTTGAGACAATAGGCTAACAAATACGTACCTGTGGCAACTGCTTTGCGATGTCACCCCCTACAAAGACAGCCTCAAGATAGACCCATAAATTCTGGACAGTCATCCAGTTTTCAATGATTTCTGAAGAATTGGATAAGTTCTGTACCCACGTCTGGATTTGTTTCTTGAAGGGAACATTGTACCTAAAAATAAAATGATTTTTCTATAACGTAGCATACAATAATGGGACTTCACTGTTGTTCAATAATGAAATAAAATATTCCAGGAATCAACCATTGCTCAAAAATGAACTTAAATATTCCAGGACTCACCTGTTGCTCAACAATGAACTGAGAACCATAAGGGAGTCTTCCATGAGGGAGACAATCTCAGCAGTGGTGTCTCCTCTCAACAGTAGTTCTCCTCTGTTCTTGAAAGTTCCAAACTTGAAGTCATGACCATTCCATTCTGCTATGACTGTTTTCAATTTGGCCTCAATGTCCTTTTCTTTCACAGCTGATATACAGATGTCCTGAAATAATACAGATTTTAATTTTCAGACTTAATTCAACTTTTTTCTGGCAGTTGCATATTGTTACAAACTTGTATGGGTTCATTTTCAATGCTAAATTCTGATATTTCTTTTTTCGATACATCACACCTCCATTTTGAACAGAAAAAATAAATAATAAAAAGGCATTATAATAACGAAAAAAAAGTTCACAATGCAGGGTTGAAAAGTATATTCAGCCATTTTTTCTCTTGAATCCTGTTTTTTGTGTCATAATTTATAAAAATTTATGCTTGATATTTCTCTATAGCTGAGATACAATTTTTAGAAATACTCAAATTATGAATACAGTACATAGATTTCACATTACAATAAGATGTTAAAAATATTTAATTGATATTTAAATAATGAAAACTCACCTCAATGTCTTCCTTGTTTTCAACCAATGGGGCTTCTAGAATGTTCCTCATCGTGAAGTTATCGCTCTCTATGTCAAAGACGTGCCCTGTCAATTCTGACATTCTTCCCCAATGACGTGTCTTCATTGACTTGTTGGCCATTAGCTCCAAGAGTGGTACCATCTCGTTGAAGTTGTCAATTGTTTTACGGAGCTCTTCAAAAGCTGACCACTCTTTCAAAGCCTTGGGAAGCTTACGGCACCTAGAATTGAATTTGATTAAAATTATCTTCACATCGAAGTAAAAGTATATTCCACATGTACATGTAATTGTAATTAATTTTATTGCACACAATTCAATTGATGGGTTTTCTGGAAATTACCCAGTTCATCTTCAAAACTAGTACATTAAATGATAGAGTAAAATATATTATGGCGTTTGTATAAATAATCTAAAAAAATTGAAATATAAAACTTAATTGAGAGTATAACATTTGTACCTATTCTGAAATTCCTGCAGTTGAACATTGATTGATTCAATATCCACTTCACTCCATAGAATGTCATAGTATCCATTTACAGTGTCAATGACAGCATTATAAAGACTGTACAGCTTCTGGAGGAGGTTCAACTCTTTCTTGATGACCAACAACTCTGGGTACTGCGTGACTGTTAGACCAAATAATTCTTCTCCGCCTGTATATGTGATGTACTTGCGATACAGAGAATCGAAAGTATTCTGGAAGATGATCAGGCGGTCGCTGGCTTCCCTCGGTGGTACTCCAGAAACCATTGGCCCATTCTAAAATAAATTCAAGGATAAATGTAAATATGGTGATATACATGTAGTTTAGAGAAAAATGAATTACAAAAATAAATTAAATGAAAAATTAATGAGATGACAGTTGGTGAGGACTAAACTCTGATATTTTCACTGACATCAAGTAAATCTATGTTGCCTAAACACCAGAGTAAAGACCCGATTTAGCTTGAGGATTTGAAATGTTGCTTCAGCCAATTTCATTTCTTTTCTCCACATGTAATGAAGATCAAGTTGATGTGTCAGCAGGGATTTGAGCACATCACATAATACTCACATTCTTATAGTCACCATAGAAGTCACTACAGTCAGTGATAAATGTCTCCACATCATCGATGAGTCCCTGTTTGTAGTTAGGTTGCACCAGGAGCAGGTGGGTGGATGATTCGCTTGACTGACTCTGGAGCTTCTCCCAGGAATATCTCAATGTGTCCACTCTCTCTACTTCCTCCTTGGAGACTGGTATTTCATGTTTAGTCAACAATGCATAGGATTCCTGAATAAGAAAATAGCATTCAAAAACTGTAAAAATGTAAACATGTTAAATTCATGAGTGTCTTGAGTTCATGTATATCTGTGTGAGTGTGAAATCGTGAATTCAGGATTCAGTAAGAAAAATTTTGCCGACTTCCAGGAATTCAAGGTACAAATTGGCTAATCAAATGTGCAGAAAAACCTAATGTGTCAATGAGTTCATGGTTACTTTACAAAATGTCTGTTTAATGTAGTAACGTCATAATGGTTTGTAACTATACCTCTATTGGCCCGATGTTCATGTCATATTTGATAAAGTTATCCCTCAGGTCCTTCAAAGAAGCCATGACAAGGCGAATATCATCTAAATCCTTCACAGGTCGTGTTAGACGCTTGTGAATATCTTCAATGAATTCAAACGTGTCTTCCATCTCTGTGCGATATTTCGAGTTACACGCCTTCCCATAATGCAATCTCCAAGCAGTTGTCTCACACTCAAGACCCTCCTTCAATTTGGCTATAAATAAATAAATAATGAAAATTTTTGTTAAAAACACAAAATGAAATACTAGTGGTAAACCACTGACAAACCCAATGTTACTGTTATTATAGGTGCATGTATTAAGGTTTAGCTCTTTACATTCAAATATTGAATACATCACTGACATGTGATTTACCAAAGATCAAAAAGTCTTAAAGTCAGAATCTGATCTATAGGGGGTGACAAAATTACAAGCAACATGTATAATTGACCTACCAATCTATTCCTTACAATATCAAATACAATATCAATATACAACTCTCTTCAATAACTATTTCAAACTCATGAAAGTTTGTGAATGCTCTGAATTACCTGTGTAAAGAGCAATGGGTCCAACATCATAGAACTCAGGCTCAGCTTTAATCATGGCCTCCAGGTCTTCGTAATGGAGGATCTTGAACTGGAACTCGGAAAGTTTGGGTTCTTGTTTCATGAATTCTTCCAGGTCTTCATCTCTGTCAACTTCCCATATTGGGTGGTACTTGGCGAACTTCTCAAGGGCTGTTACGACCTCCTAAATAGTCAGAGATAAATTTGAAATTTAATGAATTGTTAAATGGATTTGAATTATGGATTAAATCAGAGACACAAGTAGTTAGTCTTTTCATTTATTTATTACGTTTGTCTGAGTTTGGAAACAATTAATATTGACAAGCAATGTCTTTTTTTTCATTTTGAAACAGCAATGTCAATCAGAAATTCTCTAATACGCACTGCTTCAAGGACTTCAAATACTAATGTGAAGTTTTCGTTTTTTGGTGAAAGTTAAAAGCCCACATTTGATATAAGCTAAATTGTGAAATGAAAAATGTAAATGCGCTTAATGCTAATTGAAAGCAGGAGGACTCTTATCCAATCCAATTCTCTCCTTTGTCCCAGCAACCAAGGAAGAAATCATAATTGTCATAGGCGTAGCGCCCGGTATGCTGGGTACGCACAGGCGTACCAGATGGTTGCAAATTCGCTCCAAATACAACCAAATTTCCAAATTTTCTGGGGGAGAACCCCCCCTCCCCCTAACCTCCCACCAGACGCTCGTTTTTTGCTTCGCTTAACTCATGTTCCCGTGGTGGCGTTCTACTTAGAAAAATAGCGCTACGCCCATGATTGTTGTTTATAAAGTAATTGGTCTTGTTGATTTCAAGAGAATCTTACCTTCTTGGTAGAGTTGATTGATGTTGAAAGAAGAGAGACAACCTTGGCCACTTCTTTATTATCCGACACATTCTTGAAATAATTCTTCACCATCTGAGCAACAGCAGTGACGGCACTCTGATCCCCATGACGTGTTGTCGCACGAGATAACGCCATATCACTGCGCGAAGCCTCGGAAACAACACTTGCACCACTGTTACGTCTCTGATGGTGAGAGTCATCGGATTCATCATCCTGGCCTCTGTTGCCCTTCTTGCGTTCTTTACTCCATTGGGATACACCCTTGGAGACATTCAGCACAAGTTGGGTGGCTTTGTTGATGGCTTGTTGGACTTCATCAAGGGGAGGTTGCATCACAATATTTGGGATGGTGAGACGAGCAAATGTCTTGAAAAATGGCCTTGCTGTACTGCTATCTCCCTTATTTGAGTCACCTTGAATTACAGGTGGTTATATTAAATAGAATAGCGTGACATTCTTTTGGAGTAGAGTTGACTTAATTTAACTTTTTTTATTCATCTTTTCATTCAATTTCATTGTCTAACATACACTCATACAGTAGTTGAATTTTGATTCGTATGAATTGTGATCATTCAAATCATATGTGAATGTTGTTTCCCTATTTGTGTTCAGAAATGAAATATGATCCTAAAAGGTTGCTTTACTTCAATAACTCAAATTCAAAATGTAATATTTGTGAAGTTTGGCTCAATAACCACTACCTACCTAGATAATGTAACATAGAGCTTGATGTGATCCTCTTTCTCAATGCCTCTAGTGTATTTTTCACAACCTTTACAATAGCATCTAGGTTCCGATGATTGAAGTGATTCAGGAGTTCCATAGCTGCTTCTTCTAGGTTTTCTTTCTGTTCACGTTTGCGTTTTGCGATGGCCTCGGCTGTGGTCGACATTGGACGTGATGTTTTTGACATACGACTACCTGTCCTGGGGGAGACGTGGGAATGTGTGGGACTTTGGGATCTACTCTTTTTATCACTACTCTCTGTAAAAATGTAAAATTTATGTGAAAACTGGATTCCTGTTCCTGGATTCCTCACCAGCTAAAATGAGCAGTATGAACAGTTTATTGGGTTTGAGTATTTTTGAAAATATCTCGAGGATGAAGCCATCCTGGGGACTTATCTGAAATGAAATTGTGCTCGTATGAACAAACAAACAACTCATGAGAGAGTCCCTTACTGCCAAAATTGTACTTACCCTCATCTTTTTCTTCCTCTCCTTCCTCCTCTTCTTCATCATTTACTTCTTCTTCAGGTGGGCAGAGCATATCAATGAGTTCATTAGCAGCCTCTTCAACATTAATGCTCTTAGACTGTAGGATCTGAGACCCTCTCACACACAGTGTCTACAATTGAAGAAATCATCATATTTATATAATTGAACATTAATAATCTATGCCTATAAACTTAAGGATACATAGGCATCTATCTCTGATTTAGCAAAAATAGCAAAAAACACAGTGTGAATATTTCCACTTATATATCACTTACAGCAGTACGTTCCAAGAATTCATCAACAGTCCAAGGTTCGTCTCCAGGAAGCTCACAAAGGAGCAATGTTGACATATCATACAACACTGCATCAATACGGAACTCTGCAAGATCATTGGTCCTCTCTATCAGCAACTCTAATAGCTCTAGCTCCTAAAAGTATAAATAGACATGAGGTACTGTAAAACCAGAGAGTTGAACACCTTTATCACATCTAAAATATGTTCCACTTGGTTATACTTATAGAGAGAGGTTCATGTAGCATAAAGTCAATTGGTTATGGAACTCTGAAGTGTTCCACTAATAGAGGTGTTCAACTTACAGAGGCGTTCCACTTTACAGGTTTAACTGTAGTTATATAGTAGATCCTGTGTAAGTGTCACAAATGCCATCGGGACCAAAGAAAGGGGTTTCCACTTGGAAAGTGATATATTTACATATTCTCATCAGGTAAAATAATCTTGACATATTGTATATCTGCACAAGTGGAAGACAATTACAGACTGAGAACTGTACCTTATATACACTCCCTATGTATGCATCTAGGTTAAGAGTGGTCCATGTAAGGCTACTAAGTCCTGGCTGGATGGCTTCATCAACCTTAGCTATATGTGGTGCCATTAGTGTATCATAAGCAGATGGAATCTTGGAACGGACACGGGAGTTCTCTTGCATCACAAGCTGTTACGTAAAAAACATCATGTTAATTAATGAACACGATCAGACAATGCAATTAAATAAATTATTGCGACTCTTCATCATTATGACTCTTTGGATGATTGTGACACTTCAATGACTCTTCATTGAGTGAGGTAAAATATTCTAACGATTCGCTATTGGATCAATTATTGTGTGAGTTGAGGTTTTAATTGAATATACAGGGCGTCAAATAAGTCTGTTCTCCCCCCTTAACTTTTTTAATTCAGAGATAACATAGGATTGGTATATATCATCTTAAAGGGAATTTAATTTGCTGATCACACACCAAATCTCAGAGTGATTGGTTAAATTCCAAATTTTTTAGAGTATTTTTAGTGATGTCCATATTTCACTTTTTTAATAGTCTGTATGTCTCCCCCAGCAGCCCGGATGGCCTCAATTCTACGAGGATATGATCCTGTATAAATCATTCAGAACGTTTAATTTTAGGTGTTATCAACTATTTTGTGATGAAAGATGCCCCTGCTTCAAAGGCTCCCCTGAATGTAACACATTTTACTCTGTAACGATATTGAGAAACATCGAAATCACCCAATGTTTGCATTGTCACTGCAGTATCAGCTTTTCACTTTTCATTCACTATACCTGGTAATTTTACTTGTTTTGACGAAATCAAAGGTCAACGACAACCTTACGAGAAACAGTGTAGCAATATTATTAGGAGGAGTTTATGATTGATTTTTTGAGGGTGATCAGCATTTTCCATGAGCTTACAGTTTGCATAGTTGTTTATTTGTCAATTAAATCGATTTTAAATGTACAGGCAACTGACACCCATACGGGTGTATATAGTTACATATGATTATATTACATAATTGTATTAATCAAGATGACAAGATATAAAACTGTTTTTTAAGATAGAAAGTTAGAAGAAAAGTGATAGAAGAGAAAGAAATATACATATATAAAAGCACATATAGCTAAATGTTATACAGATTAATTTAATACTTGTCCCGATAATACTTTTTCAAATCTGACTTAAATTTATTTCTAGAATTCAGATGTTTAAAAGTTTCAGGTAATTCATTCCATGTTATTTGTCCTATGTATTTAATGCTCCTTTGTCCAAATGTGGATTTAAATTGATTAGCTCTAAGATTGAATCTATAACGTGTCTCTTGACCATGAGTTTGAGCATTTGCTTCAAAATGATATATGGGAAAGTATGATAAATTTAAAGATTCAAAAGTTAAGGGGGGAGAACAGACTTATTTGACACCCTGTACATTTAGTGAATCAAAGTTTTCCTGAATGAGTTCAAACAATTCTGAAGGATGTCCCATATGTGTGCTTACAACTACTCTCTGTAATGAACTTACATTTAGTGAATTAAAGTTTTCCTTGAAGACTCCCTGTTTAGCTCTTAGGTTTGAGGCAGTAGGTGGAATATCCAGCCCAAGCCTGGCCATGCACTCTGTCTCTCTGATGAGGGTGATGATCTGAGGGTCAAAGTTCACATACAGCTCCCCAGTCTCTGGGTGGCGCACCAATAATGAAGCAGAAAGACCAGACTTTGTGGCCTCAACCTATAAGTACAAACCAATCTTAGAATATGCAGGTTCTTATCTAGGTTTTATTGTCTGTGAGTGAGTATTGTATTTTTTAGAAAAATTATGCAATAAATTACATCAAATAGAAATTGTAATGAATAAATCAGAAAAATCGTGATTATGTATAAAGACACCCACCTGTCTTAGCCATCCTCTATGGTAAAGGACTTCAAACTCCAGCAGGACCTTGGCCATTTTGTTGTAGTTCTTGATGATTTTCTTTGCATCAGGGCCTGTGAGGAGGTTAGGCATGGATTGGAAGGCATCCATTGGCTCCTGGAGACGACGGAATAATTGCCTAGCCCAGGCAATCTTACCTATAGTACAGAAAATATATTTGAAAAATATGTGCACATATGTATGTATATGTGCTATATGTTTTGTGCCAGCAATAAGAGGAAGGACTCTAAACAAAAACAAGGCATTCACATGCAGAATGTCACCACCTACCATTTGTTACAAACACCGAACCCCAAACTCTGAATGCCAACTAACAAACATTGTCCAATGTCCACAAAAAAGTTTTAGATTATAACAATTTGTCATCACTTGTGATGGTGACATAAAAATGAAAAAAATGGTTCCACAAACCTGCAATAGGGGGCAGGTCTCTCGCAACTGGAGGATCGCTTTTATTTTTCTGGTATATCTTGGACACCATTTCAATATCTCTGCCATATTGATGCAAGATGCGCTGATATTTCTCTGCTATGCCCAAATTTGGTATGTTCAATCGCTCAAACTTTCTCAACAGCCATAATGCACGCTGGGTGCTGTTGATCCTCTCGAATCTCTGATCCATGAAAGAAGTGATGGTTGACTGAAAAATCAAATTGACCTCCTGAGTAAAACATGCAATTAAAATATAAAAACTGGAAGAAAAGAAAAAAAATGTTTGTATGAAGGGTTTTAAAGATTTTATGAGGATCCTGGAAAGAGAGCGCATTTTGATTATTTTTCTCGTAAACTGCAAAATTCTATGAAGCCAAAAAATCAAAATTGTTTTTATGATTTATCTCAATAGTCATATAAATTCCGGACAAACTTGTAGTTTTACAACACATGTTCAGGATTGTATAATTTTAACATGTAATAATGCATTAACTTATTTTAACATGTAATAATGCATTAACTTACATGTAGATCCTGGATTGATCTCTTGAACTCCTCAAAATCTGAATCAAAGTCCATCTTGCGCTGGTCCAGATAATCATAGGGTTTCTTCTTCATAGAGGTCACAATGACATTGAACTTAGCAGCCATCATCTCCATACCTTTATTAACAAGAAAAGTCACACTTTATTTTATGAAAAAATGATACATTCGTTCTTTTGTACTGTTTTCTTTACTTCTTTTTTATTTTTAATACATTTTATTTTATTTTGTATTGTCACACATCACAACATTGTTTTCATTTCATTGTAGAGTTCAATGTAGCATTAGAGCTGGATTCAAATTTTACTAGGCGTTAATATGAAAAATTCAAATATGTTTTAAATACTATGTTAAAAGGAAGTGGCTATATCAAGTATTTTGGAAATCGTAAACATTATTTTTCATGACATATACATGAACTGATGGATGGATGGAGGCAGCTGAGGAAACCTCTACATTTCCACAGCTAATGTGTATGGCACAACAGCATGTAGTCCATCTAAGCATGTTTATCAAAATATAAATAATATCAAAATTGACCTTAATAATAAAACATAATATTCAAAACATTTAAAGAAATGACATTTACACAAATAAATCCCTAAAAACCCTATAAATATAAAGACTTACCTTCTATCTTGGATGTCATCAAATGGGAATAAATCTCCATAGTCTGGAACATGTCAATAATTTTTGACAATCTCCGACAGAATGTATCAAACTTTCCAAATATGTACATCTCAGAGAATTCAAATTTTCGCTCATTTGGCATATCTTCAAGCTTTTGTTTTGTTTTGTGAAACTGTCTCTGGTATTCTTTGTTAAGATTTATACAGTCTGTTAATTTTTTGATGACGTCTTCTGATTGTTGTGTCCAAACTGTCTCAGCACCTCCATCTGTGATGTAAGATTTGCAAGCTGTGATCATCTGGTTTGTGATCTGAAAAAAACATTTCAATAAGTATTTGTTGTATGTACATTTGGGTTGACATTTTTTAGAGTACATGTATATTCTATTCATAAATCCATATTTATATAAAAACACTGTTCAACGAGTTGTATTTACAAATCTCAAAAATAATATGAGGCATTTATATGACAAAATGGCACCACCGAGTAGTCATCAGTATTAAACACTGATTACATATAACTCCTTTAATTCACTGCCATTGTAACCAACACTGCCCAAAATCAACAGATGTCTATATGTTTTATATCCAGTGGTTACCTTGACGAAGAGTGATGTCATCCTCTCTGACGTATTATAGTAACGGGAGATGCTGTGGATCATTCTAATAGCATTCACAAGTCCAGGAATGGTTTCCACCATACCAACAGGGTCGCTATTGTACAGAGGGTCACAGAATTTCTCAAGTGTATAGAGAAACTTGACGTTGTCTTTCGCCTCGTTCGCAGCATCTGTGATGCGTCTATCTAGCTCTTGCCACACCTGAGGAATCATACAAAGATGATGAATGATGTTATATACAGAATATATAGTTATCAACATGACCTTACACTTATTTAGAGGCCAAGAGTGGGGTTTTATTTGCACTAGAAAATATTCCATTGTTTTTGATAGGCATACTCTTGGCTTGCATTTGGAGAATCTTTAAATTAAGTAGCCTGTTCAAGTCTCATAAAAATAAGTAATATGGTAGTTAGTTGGAACTTTTTACCTCAAATTTTTTTTTACTGAAAAATAGAAAAATTCACCTTCAATGTTTTAGATTTGGCGGCTTGGAGCACACCCAAGACTGCCTTGACCTCTGACCCCTTGATCTGGTCCAGCAAGTAGTTGAAGCGAGACATGCGTTTCTTCCAATGGTCAAGCTCAGCTCTGGGTCCAATGTCATCTGCCTCACGCCTCATCTGTTCACTCTCTGCCAAAACCTGTTGGAAACAAATCATCAATATGTAAATGCATGAGACACCAATGATACCACGGTTTGATATAGAAGGATTCCAAATATATGTTACAGATCTATACAACATTGAAACAATCTGGTGCTGAATTTGACTGAAAAATCAACATTCACCCACTCGAGTCTAAGTTTTAATGAACAAAATGACAAACTTTGGATATTTCTTTGTAAGAACATGTAATGTAGATGTATTGGTAAAATTTGAATAATGCTCTTAGCTGGATGAAAATTCTTGTGGAAACGACGAATAAAAAGTGTGTGCCTCACCTGTTCAATCTGTTTAATCCATACAGCGATACATTCCTCAATAGCAACAAGTACATCATTGTTGCTGGCAGCTGATTGGTAGTCAGAGGGGGTCATAAGGTCACCAAGGTCATAAGTCTCGCAGGGTTTCAAGATGACTTTTTCATCAAGACTTTGCTGGGCCCCTGTAAAGAGTGCACAATGTATATGTGAATCATTATCTTACAAATCATTATCTTTTGTTTCGAGTTTTACACTGTCAACCAATGGGATGGTCTAGTTATAGGGACATGTTTCTCAATATGTTTAAATTCTTTATCACTTCGTGTAATTTGAGCATTTTTATGAACTTCAAATTACTAGTGCACGGTAATAGGTGTAAGTGCTGCTAAACTCTCCTAAAACAACAATAACAAAATATGTGGTCCAGTGGAGTAGTTTGGGTTGGGAGGGGACTGTAAAATGTCCTACCTGATAATACAGAGACAAATGAGTCCAGGTTATTGAGGAAATCAGTTCTGACAGGTTCCCCTGCTTTGGTCTGCAGACTGCCCCAGCCTTTCTCTAGTTTTCGCAGGGAAGGGATGAATATACGTGACATAACATCTTCCACTGCATTGAGGAGTCCATGCCCATTGCACCCCTTAGATGCATCCATAGTGGTGAAGTTAATTTCCTGAAATTTCAAAAATTGAAGGATGAATATTTTTGAACTGGTTGATATGAAGAGTAAGTAGTTAGTATATCTTGGACATGACATCAAAACATTATAGGAGTTTAAATGTACTGAAATATTTTGAAATCAGTATGAAAAACAATTAGAGGAAACTCCTGACAGATATATCCATCAATGGTCCTACTACCAAATACACTGTAAGTTACATACACAGGTATATGTATTGATCTACTTACAATCTGGAATGCATTTAGTACTTAGAAATAATGTTCCAATTGGGAGGGGAGGAGTTCCACTTACAAAGGTTTATTCTATTGAAGTTAATAAGCAAAAAACTTGAAGTATTCTACTTATATCAGGTGTTCCACATATGAAGGTCCACTTTACAGGTTCTCCTGTATTCTTAATGTTCTTATTGTAAATCCACTTACATTGAGCATAGTTGTCTCTGTAATTGCTTGCTTGGGGTCAGCCCTCGTGAATATAAGAGCCATGCCATGTAGGGGCACATCACGGCCATTTGTAACAAACACCCTGGGCTTAGAGGCCTTGATCGATTTATTCTGGGCCCCAAGGCGTAACTGCTCCACTGGAATAGTTTGACAAGAAAATTAATTCATGGCAAGAGGTGGCATGATAATACTTAATATAGGACACAGTTATGCAATATTGTACCATAGGATTGTAATTAATGTGGTATGCTATTCCTTTTTCTAATTATTCAGTACCACAGGATTTTATTTGTCTCATCAATCCGAATGATCATACTTACAAACATAAAAGCAAAACTGAATCTGAATTTGAACAGCATATATGTATATCAGGATTATACTAACATATATAGAAATTCTGATATGCATGCTTACCAATACTGAACATACATTGCAATTAGATAAGAAATGATTGATAGTAGCTTTTTCTACATTCTGACACACATTGCATCTCCTTTGTTACCATGGAGTCAATCTGTGATGCTACATTAAATGGTTGCCATGGTTTTCCATGATGTTTTCTCTATAGGTAGAAATTGTCAATGAAGCTATTGGTGTTAGACTAAGCCTACATGTTTGTGTTATACCTATGTGATGATGCAATATATTATTGTATTAATATAATATTATATTATTGTTACTGTAAAGAAGGGTGTGATGGAAGGCAACAAGTTGGAGATATGCAAGCTCTGACTGCAAAACCATGTATCTTATTTCACCTATTATATACTGCGACAGATAAGTATCCATATTTCTATGTTATCATAATTCTATTGCAGTTAGATTATTGTAGCTAACCAAAAGTGTAAACCTATGATTTCTGAATTTCAGTTGTTATGTCTTTTATGATTTCTTAAAAAAAATCATTATAAACAACTGCATTTCAAAAAGTAACTCAAGACATGTTAATTTTCTGAGACACAAATGTAAAGGGTTATTCCAATGTGACTGTTGCAAGGATCTATGGAACCAATTTCTACCAACTACGGAGTATTCTGAATCATCTACCTTATATCAATTTAACATGAGTGGGAATCTACAATTCTACTTTGGTACTGATCACTGATTACAGTTGTGATACTGACCTACAGACTTTCTAACATAAATGTTGCTCTCAATCACCTCTGAAAGTTTTACATTTGGAGTTAGGGAACAAACCTTTATGGAACAATTCATGGTGATCATGATTCATTTTGGCACATTTTTTCTTTTTGAGATTTCAACAAACATCAAAAAAAATATTGATGTTAGTTGGGGACCAAGTCAATATTTTGATATTCCCAAAAACATAATTATTTATATTTCAAGTTTGTCCCCTCCCTCTTCCATTTTTTCCATTTAAAAAATCCTTATAAGTAAATGGATGTATTGGACTCTAACCCCCACCCCCCTTACCCCCCCCCTCATAAGGAACTAATAATTATGCAAGTTGGTAAACATCAACATATTGACCAAGTTCCTTTAGCACAATCATTTTGTACTTTTCAGAAGTATTTTGTGATAAAAGTATGATTACCATGACAACCACATTACCCAAGCCCCAAGCAGCTTTGGTGCAAAATAAAATATATAATGATGAGAGAACAAAACTGTTGAAAATATTCAATATCTCCAAAAAAGTTGAATAAAAAATTTGCAGATTTGAACAGTGTTAATAGCATGTTCAAAGCAATATGCAAAGCTAATAAGAAGCAAAATATGTGATTAGTAAACAGAGAAGGAATGTCTTTCCCATGATATTGTAATATATAAGACAAAGAGAGAATCATGGGTAAGAGGAACCTTCCTTGCATTCTGTATATTAAAATCATACAGGCCACTGATTTTTTCCTTTTACGGGTTAATTCCTCTTGATTGAAGGTTACACCTAAAATTCAAGACAACATTATAAATGCTGTCTACTGTTTTAGTGCATTTTTGAATTCTAGTTTATTAAAACACATTTTAGTATTTTAGTTGGACTTTTCAAAAATTCTTGATTACCATATTAAAAACATTAAAATCATCCAAGATGGGTTATTTCTAGATAAGTAAAAAGTAAAATAGAACCTTATACTTTTTGACATGGTGACTAGAATGCTCTAGTCAAAAGAGTACCACTGATAAAAAGTATAATTCTAATCAAATAGATAAAATATAAAAAATTAATCCAAACTCAACATTCACAAAATATATTAATTTTAAGTCCAGATTCCAATCCGTTTGCTTTATTACAATCCGTCTGCTTTGCTAGGACATACCTGGGTCTTTGTCTGTTAGTTCAGGTTCCTGGTAGAAGAACATCAAGTGACTCTTTCCTTCCTCCTCCAGAAACTCATCAATTTGCTCAATCTGAAATTCAGCAACAGTTTTTTCATGAAAATATTTTTGAATTTAAAGGCAACCATACCATTTAAACAATTTTAAAGAATTGAAGTGAAGAGATTCATAGCCAATAAAGTTACAGTGAAAGCTGTGAAGTGGAACACCTCTAGACTTAAATGAACCTCTATAAGTGGAACACTTCCCAATTGGAATATTTCTTAAAGGTACCAAAAAGTGTTCCACTTATACAGGTTTTACTGTTGTATATACTTTTTGTTTCACTGCCGCTGACAAATCATTATATATCAAAAATGGACCTTGACAAAGAGCCAATAAATGAATTTTATCAAAGTATGTCTTTCTTTTTCAGTTTACCAGTAAACAAAAGGAAGAGAAACAAGTGAAATATTAAATCTATTGTTAAAAAAAAACAACCAAAGTCAATTTCACATTTCAATCAAAGTCAGATATTTTTTCATGAATATGGAAATATCAAATGAAGCAATGAAAACGTATCTTGTATCTACCTGTGTGCCTTCCAGTACCGCATCCTCAACTTCATTCTTTTCGAGCCCAAGGCAATCAGCGACAGTTATCAAAATATAATTGTGCCTTTCATCTAGCTTTGACCTCTTGGCCTCCCGTTCTTCCTTCAGTTTTTGCTGCAAATGAAAGAAAAACAACTTTGGGGTAAAATAATGTTTGATTTGTAATGTAAAGAGCTTGATAAAAGAATTCACAATAATAGATTAATATAAATACAACCCTAGAGTTATGGAGCTTTAGTGAAAATAAATACACCAGTACCAAAATTTATTGGGGATCCTAGAAAATAATTGAATAACTGAAAGATGGGAAATTTTGGTGGAAAAATTGCAAATTATGACCAAAATTTGCAAAATACATGTTTGGGTAAAATTGAGAAATCCAAGCCTCCTGGCATATCAGGTAAAAAACGAGTACCTTTCGAATCTGTAAAAAAATCGAGTTAAATGAATGAATGGTCTTCTTGCTATTTTGATGACATAAATTCTTATGTTGCCTTCCTGTCTCCGTCAGCAAAAGACGGCAAAATAGCACGTCAGGTTTTGTGACAAAAAGCCTAAATTCAATTCATACTTATTCATAGCCTTTAAGAAAGTCAGTCATAAATTGCCAATCCACTTGCATAGCTATTACAGAAGAGAAATGAAACAATCATCATTAAAATCTACTTATAAATCAATTATAGTCAAGTAGAAATCAAACAGTAATCTTGTAGGTATTCTTAATCGAACATAAATCCATCAAGATAAAGGAACAGGTGAAGTAGAAAATATGATATGGTTACTAAGGTAACCAAGAAACTGAATTCCTACTTCCGAAACTCCAAGACTGAATATGCATCACATTTGTAAGTCAAAATATAGTAATTTCAACTAACTACCACTCTGATTAAATTAGAACAAAAAGCAAATTTTTGATTCATAAATAAACAATTGGATAAGAGTATGAAAAATATCCTATGTATTGTGAAATCCTACTATTACTCCTGTTTCATTGGTTCAAAAATAGAATAATTTTCAGATTTGGGGTATGAGTACTTACTTTTAGACTTGCTATTCCCTTTTGACTAATTATATTCCCATTTGCTGTTGCCATGGTAACATAAACATAAATGTCTCTGATATATTGTATATCTCCAGCTGAAATTCATTTCTTCATAACATCCATGAAAGTATATAATAAATAATTCACAGACATTGTACTGATCTCGAATGCCAGGTTTCCTTAAAATCTGAATTGTTTATTGGTATGATCATATATGATATAATTTTGCATTGTAGGTCCTTAGAATACTCCATATAATATAAATCTGATGTAAAATCTCCTATTATCCTCCCATTCACTTGTCTTGAATATTCTTGATCGAGAGTTCAGGCCAATAACTTATTATGAGAATTAATTCACCAATGACGTAAGACAAAACTGTTGTCATATCAATATATTGCTTATATCTGAGACACTCTCCAGTGTGTCTATGATAATAACATTCAGTTATATGTCCTTATTCTAAAACACTACATGTATATTACTTGTACTTATCAAATCACATCGAGATATTGAAATTCTCATCTGTCAATACTAGATCATGCAATTATCACTTCTTGGTGACCATTGCTCACTACTATGATATTAATTTCGACATGTATTTAAAGAAAATAATGATATCAAATATGTTTTATGTAACATAAATTGTAAATCCTTTAATCATCTTTTAGATTCATCCTAAGTGACTATTCCAAGTGGCTGCTTTTGATTCAAAGGTTATAATGTCATCAATGAAGTACTATAGATAGAAAAAATGTTTGATGCAAGTACAATGCATATGTATAGCGAATATTAATCCAGCAATACTATCGCTAAATGGTGAATATGCCATTATTCTGAATTCTGTTGTCCTTAAGGAGGTGTTGTTTATTTTACCTTGTCTTGAGAAAATGGGTCATCTCAAAAAGATACTCAGAATTTAAGAGTATGAAATCAAAAAATAAATGTCACAGATTGGCACAATGTTAAAATAATGTAGACCTAATATAATATAAATACATTTTTTCCTAACCAGGAATATATAATCTATATGTTTCAAAATGAACTCAAGTTTTGATAACTTCCCTGTGCAAAAATAATCAATTAATAATTTTAACATTTAATGGATGGATCTTGATAGCATGGCATAACTCAAGCATTCTATAATTAACTCTTTCATTGATCCTTAGAACAAGATCAATTGATCTGATACCGTTGAAGTATAATTGGTTGTTCTCTTTACTCTCCTTATATTGACCAACCATAATAGCTTGTTTTAATAGCGTTCCTGACAACAGGCATTCTAATCATATGATACCCCAGAGTTATAGCCAGGGAGCTTTTTTTGAAGGGGGGGGGGGGGGTTGACAGATTTTCATCATTTTGAGAACTTTTCAGGTGATTTTGGGCCAAATTGTCAACCAAACCCATCCTTGGCAAAAGCTGGCTAAGGGCCTGACCTCCATGGTCTTTCATCTTTTCAAGGAACTGCACTTAAGGGTCACTTTTAATTCTAGAATGTTCATGAAACAACCCCACATGCACAAGCAGATTCATCTACATAGACCAACAATACAAGGCCTGGTTAGCACAACACCAAACAGTAACTATCACTTTCGTCAATAGCAACTAATCTCTAATATCTCTACAAAAGCCTATAAGTCAATTGTTTTCAGTCATATGTTGTGAAATTTTATCTAAAGAAAGACTCGTATTCTGTATCCACCAAGAATTGTTATCTTAGTTCTCGTGTATCTATTTTAAAATATGAGAAACTTCATGCATTACTGCATGAACTGTCTTAGTATGATAACAAAATATTAGAAATACATGTATCAGAAAATTAGCCTTTATGTAATTTTCAATACAGTTTTTAATATATGTACACCCCTCACAGCAACTTATAATATCATAGCATTCAGTTTCTTTATATTATATATAACTTTTATTGACATATAGTATCATAACATGATTACATTAATCAGAACTATGGTAGACTACATATCTAAACTACAAAACACCAACTAAACTAAAAATACAAAAAATATATAAAAATATATAAAAATATATAAGGTAACAATAATAGTGTGGTGCACACACAATGCATTATGACCACGCTAAATTCTTAAATGAATGGTAAATGAATTTGCCAATATGTCTTTGCAAGGTTACATTTTTACTAGAAATAAGATTGACAAATAAATTTTCACTTTGTAAATCCAAGTTAGGTAAAATTTCACAGGCTTTTGTATATAATATTTGCCTATTCTCATCATTTTTTGTACAAGCTAAAAAGAAATGACATTCATCCTCTACATCTTTACAAATGTTAAAGTTATATTAATTTCTGCAATATAGAAACTTGTTTCTTGTTTTAATAATCCAATACTGCCATCTATTTGAAGGAGCCAACAATTTTCTCTCGAATATACTTTAATCTAAGCTCTGAGATATATTGAACATACACTGTAGTAAGTGCAAAAGTAGAATTAAAAGACCTATTATGACAAATGCCCTGAAATACAGGTGAATATGTGGATTTAAGACTAGATAAGGGCCAAAGTAATGAGATACATCATGGGCTTTCGATTCTAGTTGAAAGCCCATGGATACATGTACAGTGAAACATGTGTTTATAGACATCTCTCTACAGTGAATATCTCAGAACAAGAATTTTTTTCACTCCTACTTTTTGGATATCCCATTGACTCCCGTGTTAGCTGAAACTCTTAATATAAATACCTTTTAATCTAATCACTCTAATCGAATCCAAGAATATTGATTATAACAATTAGTTCAGGACTTATGGGACGACCCTCGCAGACAGGGTTTACTGTATTGGAATTACCATCTACCAATATTGTTATTACCTGATTGTATTTTCCTCTCAGCAACAATGGGGAGAGTATTTACTTGGTAACTGGCATTATGTGTTTATTTGTTTTTTGGATCAATTCATAGTATTTTGGAAGAATGCCTTTTTGTTTTCTCTACTACATCATAAATTTTTGATGATGACACCTCAACATATTATACAACAAAATAGGACAGAAAAATATTATATATGGGAAAAAACATGAGAACAAGATCTATGAAAACATAAAAATTATCGAGATCATGTATTAAAGAATATCAGATCAACATAAGACCAATATTAAATTTGTGAAGTAGATGTAATCTATAGGGTATTTTATAGTACCAGAGATATGAAAGCTCTGTTTAAAAAATTTTTCTAATCAACGTCTCATGAGGGCACATCTTGTAGGCATCTAGTACCCTCGATTGAACAATATAAAACAAATATATACATGTAATAATGAAAATAAATAAGTTAGTTCATGCCTTCACTTTTAAGATGTAGCAGGGTCATATATCTCAAGGGTACATAATTAATTCATGCTTATTAATTAAAACACATTTTGATGATATTATCACGCAATTTTCACAGCGGATCCCGTCGCTAAGTTTGGTTGCCATAACGATTATCCCGCAAAACAATGGAAGGCAGATGAATTATACATTTGTTTTGAGATATCAAACAGACCTGTCAATACTAATGCATTGAGGACTTTTCCAGTTGTGCTCCTTTTCATTATTTCTATACACTTCCTCTTGAGTGAATCTCAATCAATGAATGACATCATACTTTAATAATACTTTCACAGTCATTTGCAGACAATGTTATTGTATCATGCTTCTATATTATGAACTGCAAATACAAGTAACAATGTATATGATATTGAAAACAATCTTTTCTTCATAAAAAAATAAAGTTTTACATTCTGACACTACATGTATGCAGACTGTGAAGGCAGCGATCTGTCACAATGATTGCTTGATAGTATGAGAGAAGTAATGAATGAATCTGTAATATAATAGCTCTCAGAGATTATTGCTATATGATATATGGGTGATCTCATACAATTTCTGCACTAATTTTGTATAGGATAACAACGTTAATACCTGTATTATTGTATTAATGCGTGTCAAAATACTCATAAATCATACTAACATTATTTCA